TTCAGCTTCTTTGGCTTCCTTTTCCTCCATGAATCTCTCTTCGGCTTCTTTATTAACTTTAGCTTCAGATACTTCAGTTTCTTTTTCTTTAAGTTCTTTCGCCGCTTCTTCTTCTGTGTCCTTCTCTTCAGCCTCTTTCTTTACTTCTTCTTTCTCCACCTTTGCCGTTTCGACAGTTTCTTTTACAGCTTCTTCCTCCTTCATGGTCTTATCTTGTATTTCTAATTCAAGTTCATTTTCTTTCTTCAATTCTTCCTCGACTTCTTCCTCTGCCTTTTTCTTGTTTTTAGCTTCTTTCTCATCTCCAGCATCAACAGTTCCAGACAGTTTCACAACAATCAAAACCTCGTATAAATCTGTCATGATGTTCTTCAATTCGTCCCAATTATTAAGCACCTTCTTGTTATCTTTTCCACATTTTATAGTTGCAACCAGTTTAGTAATATTACAGCCGATATTATCAATTTTCTTCTTCAAGATTTTACTCTCCTCATCGGCATCATCTATTCTTTGCAATGACTTTTGTGTTACAACTCCTACCGATTCTATCGGATTTATAAGTCTGCACGTTTTCTCAATAATTAAATCTGGAACATCTTCCACGCTGAAAGTTAGTATGCTTTCAGAAACTTCTTGAAGAGGTGTCATCAAGTTACCAAACAATAATTTTACATTGTTCGTTGGTGCGGTTTTACTTATAAGATTAATGTTCTGGTCCAAAGGTTCCAAAACTCCACTAACTCCGTACACTAAATTCTGTATGTCTTCTTTTTCGTCCAACTTACTTAAATCTTTGAGTATTTCCGTTATCGACGTTACAAAAGAATTGACGTTTTTATCCAATGATTGTAATTGGCTTAGCTTTTTCAAAGATTCAAATTTAGACTTGAAATTTTCCAAATTCGACCTCAATTCCGCCTTTTCCTTAATAACTTTATTAAGCATCGACATGGTTTCTTCAACTAAAGCAAACTCTTTCTTATACAAATCCACAACTTCTTCGTCGACTACTAATCGATTTATAATTGTTAATTGGTCCAAAAATAAAGTTATCGGTTGAATCAACTTGAACAGACACTGTTCTTTCTTTGATTTTAATCTTTCAATTGCTAGTTTACTACTCTTGATATTTTCTTCCATATCACCTATATTCAAAACGTCTTTAAGTACACATTGCTTGTATTCTATTGTCTTCAAGGATTCTTCGATGCTTTCTAACTTAGTGCACATTTCATTAATCGAATTTTGGATTTCAGGTATATCTTTCAAGTCTTTTAAACTTTTCTTAAGATCATTTGTTATAAGCAGGCAGCCTTCTTTATTTTCTTGAACACTTATCGGAGATTCTAGCACTTCTGTTACATTGCTAATAGTAATAGCAAATCGTTGTAAAGATTCTTGCGCTTTCGCTAAATCTAAAATATTCTTTAGTTCTAAATCAGAAGATTCCTCTAGAAATTTGGTTTCACTTAAAGAAGTTTGTAACGCAATCACAGGAGGCTCTAAATCCAAAATTGAAAATATTCCACTTTGTGACTTTGCTTTTAGCAATGATCGCTTTTCGCTTAATAGTTTAACCTTCTGCAGAAGAGTTTCTGTTGGTAATTTAAGTTGTTCCATTACAAGTTTTGCTTTAGTGATATTTACATCTCTCACTAGTTGTTTTTCAGTTTCTTCCAATACTTTTTGCAATTCGACCAAACAAATTGGAACTTCTCCTTGAATATTAATTATTGATGTCTTTAATGCATTTATAGATGAGGAAACTGCTGCAGTGTTTAAAGAATTAGACAACTCTTGAATTGGATGCTCTAATGAAATGATAATCTCCATTGGAGTTACATCTAAATCGTTTGCTGATTTATCTAAATAATTCAAGCAGTTCTCAAACGGTTTTTTCATCTCTTTTATTGATGCATCACTTTTCTTCTGTGAATCTGAACTATTCAATTTACCAATGCTTTTAATCAACGTAATTATAGGTTGTTTAGAAACTTGTAATTTTTTCTTTACGTAATCGTTTTGTATAACGGTAAGTTCGGATGATATTTTCTTCAAGTCATCTTCAAATTGACCAGAAACTTTGATATTAGCAATACACGATTTCAATTCTCCCAATTTAATAAATACTTTAGCCTCTTCTGAAGTTAACGCTGTGTTTAAAGATTTCACAGGTAATTGAAGTGCATTTAAATGTTCTACAATTCCTTCATCGATTTCGCTCTTATTTAAATTCTTATTAAATTCGCTCACAGACGTTGCCAAGTTTGATACGTTCATCTTCGAATTGCTCAGCGTTTGCAATAATTCCTCGAACGGTTCCTTCGCTGAATTCAATTTTGCTTTAACAGCGATCGCTTTCTGTATTTCGTTAATGACGCCAGTCACCGCTTCCAAAGGAACTTCAAGGGCTTGAAGTTTTCGAAGCTCCGGGTTGCATACTTCCTTGAAAACTTGCAACGCTTTAGATATCTTTGTGTCATCTAAAGTTTCAAGTCCAGAAATCGCTTCATTGAATTCGTCTGATGCAATTTTGTAGCTCTCCAATTCTTCCGGAGATTCCACAGCTTGAGCGGATTCCTTGAGCAACGTCAACGGTTCCAGCAAATTGCGAAGTTTTGCTTCTTGCGTAATCGACTCTTGTAGTTTTTGAATCGACACAGCGAACATATCTAAAGATTCGGAGTTTTTTAACTCTTCCGCTACCTTCAACATGCTTTCTTTAACATCGTTGCAGTCAACGGGAATTGTGTTGAAATCAATTAGAGCTTTATGTAGTTGCTGCTTCTTTTCTAAAGCTTCTCCTTTGCAAAGTAGCACAGCTTCCAGAGATTTGGAGATGTGTTCCAATGATCCTTCCATTATTGCAATATCATCAATTTTAGTTGTGCTTTCTTTCAACGCCAGCAAAGGTTTCTTCAATTCCACCAGAACAGTAGCGCACTTCTTTGGAATACTTGTAATATCTTGCCCATAAACTTCGGACAATTCAATTTGCTCTTCAAGCTTTGTAATAGGTTCTTTGATTAATTTAAGTTTGATTATGGAAACTTCACTCTCCAACGCCTTTAGAGGCTCAATAAAAAAGATATCTTTCGGAGAACTAGATATTATCTTAGAAGATTCTTCCTCGAACATCTTTAAACTTTTGCAGAACTTATCTTTTTCCAGTCTGAATGAATCTGGATTTTTGATAGCCGCTTCTACCGTAGAGGCAATTTCTTTTAATGGTAATGAAATAGCATTCAACGATTCGAAACGCATGTCCGTTTGTTCTAATACTATCACTGACTCTTCGAATTCGCTCAAAGAACGCTCCAATCCTAAAATACTTCTTACTCCTGTTTGAGGTTTGCCTTGCTCCAATTTCATTAATTTAATGGACTCACTAATAGACGTTAAAGGAACTTTGATTACTTCATAAGAAACAGGAGCCTCTTCGATTTTAGCAAGTAAAGATTCCAAATGTGCTTCAACAATTCTCAGCTTCTGGAATTTCGGGTTATCTGTAGCAATCTTACTAATATGATTTTTCAAAGCTTTCAAGGAATTCTTTATCGTCGATTTCTTCATTTCAATTATCTCCGATTTAAACTTGAGCGAACTAATCTCCTTTACAGATTCGAAAATTTCCAAGACTGGCTCCTTGATACAATCCAACTGGTCGAGGTCTTCCAGCAAATCAACGGCTTCCACTGTATCCTTTAATACCTTCAAGGGCTCATCTAAATCGGTTATGTGAAGTACAACTTTTTCATCCACTTTTCCCTTAATTTCTATCAACTGCTTTTCAAGACACTCTATAGGCAATTTAATCGCTTTCAATTTCTCAGCTTCTATTGGCTCTGTTAAAATACCTATAGACGTAATCAACTTATTTTTAACAATTTCCAAACTCTTCATCTGAGGCTCTTCGACGTTAACTTTAATGAGTGTTTCTTTTAGTGCGACGAGTGCTTTCTTCAACTCAGGTTTTTGCATCTGAATGATATTAGGTTCGGTTAACGTACACTTGATAACTTCCACAATACTGGAAACTTCTTTAAGAGGCTCTTCCAAAGTTTTTAGCTGTCTGCACGAATCTTCCGAAGATTCTGAACTGTTCAATGTTTCTTTCAAAATTTCAAGAGATTTATCTAATTCAATGACACCAAGCACACCCGATTGAGGTTGTTGTTCCATCCTACTAACTTCCAGCGCTATATGAGATATTTGCTCTTGCAGTTGTAAAATTGGTGCTTTCACAGAATCCAGATTCGATCTGTTTATATTTGATAAAGTTGCAATGGATGCGGTTAAATTCTTTTCGGCAATTGTTAAGTTCTGCAATTCCGGTTGGCTAATTTCGATTTTATTGATGGACTCCTTCAGCGCTTCAAGAGCTTGCTGCAAAACAGGTTTTTGCATCTCGATGATCTCCGGTTTATTTGAATTCAATTTGAGAACTTCCACAACATTATCCACAGATTTAAGTGGTTCCTCCAATTGTTGAATTTGTTTTAGAACAACTTCTGGTATATCTTCGGCCGATTCTAAATTGCTCATGGTTTCAGTCAAGCTTTCCAGAGACTTTTCCAATTCTACTATACCAAGAACTCCTACCTGAGAGGAATCTTTAGATACAACGATTTCGGAAACTTTCTTTTGAATTTGCATTAATGGTACTTTCACTGCTTCCAATTTCATCAATGACTTTTTCACATCGGATAAACTGGCAATTGACGCTCTCAAATTTTCTTCAACGATTTTTAGCGTTTGCAATTCGGATTTTGTAACGTCTATTTTGTTAATGGACTCTTTTAACGCGATCAAAGCTTGCTTCAAAACAGGCATTTCAACTTCAACCGTTTTCGGCTTGGAAATTCCGGTGTTAATGTTATCAACGATACATGAAATAGCTTTAAGAGGTTCCTCCAAAGATTTTATTTGTTCAATTTCGGGCAAATCCTCGCCGCTCTTCTCCAAATTGTTTATTGTTTCTTTCAAACCTTCTAGCGATTTATCTAATTCAACGAAACCAAGTACTCCTTGCTTCATTTCCTCGCCTTTAGATTTCAATTTAACAAGTTTTTCCTGCATCTCAATAATAGGAGCTTTCACGGATTCCAATTTTATAGATTCAGGTGTTTTAGACAATTTTGCAATGGAAGCGAACAAAGTATCTTCTACAATCTTCAATTTACTTAATTTCGGTTGAGAGACATCGACTTTGCTTATCGACTCTTTTAAAGCAACGAGAGCTTTTTTGAGAATTGGCTTTTCAATTTCAATCGATTCTGGTTTTGCCAAAGCACTTTTCATTGTTTCAACAATAACTGACACTTCTTTCAATGGTTGATCCAAGGCTTGTAACTGCTCAATACATGCTTCGGGTAATTTCTTTGTAGATTCTTCTTTGGAATCTAAACTGTTAATAGTTTCTTGTAAAGTCTGCAGAGATGTATCTAATTCAATTATTCCAATTTTAGCCATTTGGGGTTGTTGTTTAATTTCTGCAGTTTGTACTTTAATTGCTGATAATTGTTCATTTACTGACGCTAATTGTATAACTTTCTTCTCTTTGACATCAGATAATTGAGCAATAGATGCGTTAAGCGATTCTTCCACGCATTTCATTTTTTGTAATTCAGGTTGAGAGACATCAACCATACTTATCGATTCTTTCAAGGCAACGAGAGCTTTTTTAAGAATTGGTTTTTGAACTTCAAGAGTTTCTGGTTTTGCTATGGCAGTTTTTATAGTTTCAATAACAACTGCAACTTCTTTCAACGGTTGATTCAAGGCTTGTAACTGTTCAATGCAAGCTTCAGGTAAGTCCTTTGAAGATTCTTCTTTGGATTCTAAACTGTTAATAGTTTCTTGTAATGTCTGCAGAGATGTATCCAATTCGATTATCCCAATTGCAGCCATTTGGGGTTGTTGTTTAATTTCTGAAGTCTGTACTTTCATTGCAGATAGTTGTTCATTTACAAAAGCTAATTGCATAATTTCCTTCTCTTTAACAACAGATAATTGAGCAATAGATGAATTCAATGAATCTTCTACCATCTTTAATTTCTTTAATTCTGGTTGAGACACATCAACTCTACTTATAGATTCTTTCAGGGAAACAAGGGCTTGTTTGAGAATTGGTTTTTGGACTTCAAGCGTTTCTGGTTTTGTTATGGCAGTTTTCAAACTTTCAATTACAACTGAAACTTCTTTCAGTGGTTGATCCAAAGCTTGTATTTGTTCAATACATTCTTCAGGCAATTCTTTGGTAGTTTCTGCTTTGATTTCTAAATTATTAACAGTTTCTTGCAAAGCCTGCAGAGATTTATCTAATTCGATTATTCCAATTGCAGCCATCTGTGGTTTTTGTTTAATTTCTGTAGTTTGAATTTTCATTGCAGATAGTTGTTCATTTACTGAAGCTAATTTTGCAATTTTCTTATGTTTGGCATCGGATAATTGTGCAATAGATGCTTTCAGCGATTCTTCTACTACCTTAACTTTTTGTAATGCAGGTTCAGTGACATCAATTTTACTTATGGATTCTTTCAACGCGACAAGGGCTTGTTTGAGGAATGGTTTTTGAACTTCAAGAGTTTCTGGTTTTGCAATGGCAGTTTTTATAGTTTCAATTACAACTGAAACTTCTTTCAACGGTTGATCCAAAGCCTGTACCTGTTCAATACAAATTTCTGGTAATTCTCCAAAATTTTCTTCTGGTGATTCTAAACTCTTAATAGTTTCTTGTAAAGTCTGAATAGATTTATCTAATTCCATTATTCCAATTGTTGCCATATGGGGCTGTTGTTTTATTTCTGTAGTTTGTATTTTCATCGCAGTTAGTTGTTCATTTACAGAAGTTAATTTTGCAATTTTCTTTTCTTTGATATCGGATAATTGCGCGATGGAAACGTTCAACGATTCTTCGACAATTTTTAATTTCTTTAATTCGGGTTGAGATATATCAACCTTACTTATAGATTCTTTCAAGACAACGAGAGCTTGTTTAAGAATTGGTTTTTGAACTTCGAGAGATTCAGGTGATGAGATGGTAGTTTTTATGGTCTCAACAATAACGGAAACTTCTTTTAATGGTTTATCCAAAGTCTGGATCTGTTCAAAACAAACTTCGGGTACTTCTTTGGTAGATTCTTCTTTTAATTCTAAACTATCGATAGTTTCTTGCAAAGTCTGCAGAGATTTATCTAATTCCATTATTCCAATTTCAGCCATTTGGGGCAGTTGCTTAATTTCAGTAGTTTGTATTTTCATTGCAGATAGTTCTTCTTTTACAGAAGCTAATTTTATAATCTTCTCCTTCTTAACATCTGATAATTGTGTAATAGAAGCGTTCAACGTTTCTTCAACAACCTTCAGTTTCTTTAATTCTGGTTGAGAGACATCAACCTTACTTATTGATTCTTTCAAGGCAACAAGAGCTTGTTTGAGGATTGGTTTTTGAACTTCAAGAGATTCTGGTTTCGTCATAGCAGATTTAATACTTTCAACAACAACTGAAACTTCTTTCAATGGTTGATTTAAAGCTTGTATCTGTTCTATGCAAGCTTCAGTCAATCCTTTGGTAGATTCTTCTTTAGATTCTAAACTGTTAACAGTTTCTTGTAAAGTCTGAAGAGATTTATCTAATTCGATTAGTCCAATTGTAGCCATTTGGGGTTGGTGTTTAATTTCTGAAGTTTGTATTTTCATTGCAGATAATTGTTCTATTACAGAAGCTAATTTTAAAATCTTCTCCTCCTTAACAACTGATAATTGTGCAATTGAAGTATTCAACGTTTCTTCAACAACCTTCAGTTTCTTTAATTCTGGTTTAGAGACATCAACCTTACTTATCGATTCTTTCAAGGCAACAAGAGCTTGTTTTAGGATTGGTTTTTGAACTTCAAGAGATTCTGGTTTCGTCATAGCAGATTTAATACTTTCAACAACAACTGAAACTTCTTTCAATGGTTGATATAAAGCTTGTATCTGTTCAATGCAAGTTTCAGGCATTTCCTTGGTAAATTCTTCTTTAGATTCTAAACTGTTAATAGTTTCTTGCAAAGTCTGAAGAGATTTATCTAATTCGATTAGCCCAATTGTAGCCATTTGAGGTTGGTGTTTAATTTCTGAAGTTTGTATTTTCATTGCAGATAATTGTTCTATTACAGAAGCTAATTTTATAATCTTCTCTTCCTTAACATCTGATAATTGTGCAATTGAAGCGTTCAACGTTTCTTCAACAACCTTCAGATTCTTTAATTCTGGTTGAGATACATCAACCTTACTTAATGATTCTTTCAAGGCAACAAGAGCTTGTTTGAGGATTGGTTTTTGAACTTCAAGAGATTCTGGTTTCGTCATAGCAGATTTAATACTTTCAACAACAACTGAAACTTCTTTCAATGGTTGATTTAAAGCTTGTATCTGTTCAATGCAAGTTTCAGGCATTTCCTTGGTAAATTCTTCTTTAGATTCTAAATTGTTAATAGTTTCTTGCAAAGTCTGAAGAGATGTATCTAATTCAATTATTCCAATTGCAGCCATTTGGGATTCTTGTTTAATTTCTGTCGTTTGTATTTTTATTGCAGATAGTTGTTCATTTACTGATGCCAATTGTATAACTTTCTTCTCTTTGACATCAGACAATTGAGCAATAGAAGAATTCAAAGCTTCCTCTACAAGTTTTAATTTCTTTAATTCTGGTTGAGAGACATCAACCTTACTTATCGATTCTTTCAAGGCAACAAGAGCTTGTCTTAGGATTGGTTTTTGAACTTCGAGTGTTTCTGGCTTTGCAATTGCAGTTTTAATATTTTCAATTACAACTGAAACTTCTTTCAGTGGTTTATCCAAAGCTTGGATCTGATCAATACAAGCTTCAGGTAATTTTTTGGTAGATTCTTCTCTGCATTCTAAACTGTTAATGGTTTCTTGTAAAGCCTGAAGAGATTTATCCATTTCAATAATACCAATGATAGCCACCTGGGGTTCGTGTTTCATTTCTATAGTTTGTTGTTTTATTGCAGATAGTTGTTCTTTTACGGAAGCCAATTTTTCAATCTTACTCTCTTTGACCTCAGATAATTGTCCAATAGAAGCATTCAACGATTCCTCCACAACCTTTAACTTCTTTAATTCAGGTTGAGAAACATCAACCTTGCTTATTGATTCTTTCAAGGCAACGAGAGCTTGTTTGAGAATTGGTTTTTGAACGTCAAGAGATTCTGGTTTTGTCATAGCAGATTTAATAGTCTCAACAACAAGTGAAACTTCTTTCAAAGGTTGATTCAAGGCTTGTATCTGTTCAATACAAGCTTCAGGTAACTGCTTTGTAGATTCTTCTTTCACTTGTAAACTGTTAATAGTTTCTTGTAATGTTTGCAGAGATGCATCTAATTCGATTATTCCAATTGTAGCCATCTGCGGTGTTTGTTTAATTTCTGTGGTTTGTATTTTCATCGCAGATAATTGTTCATTTACTGAAGCTAATTGCATAACTTTCTTCTCTTTGACATCAGATAATTGAGCAATAGAAGAGTTCAAAGATTCTTCCACAATCTTTAATTTCTTTAATTCCGGTTGAGACACATCAACTTTACTTATAGATTCTTTCAAGACAACAAGGGCTTGCTTTAGAATTGGTTTTTGAATTTCAAGGGTTTCTGGTTTTGTAATTGCAGTTTTAATACTTTCAATTACAACTGAAACTTCTTTCAATGGTTGATCCAAAGCTTGTATTTGTTCAATACATGCTTCAGGCATTTCTTTGGTAGATTCTTCTTTGGATTCTAAATTATTAATAGTTTCTTGCAAAGTCTGCAGTGATGTATCCAATTCGATTATTCCAATTGCAGCCAATTGAGGCTCCTGTTTAATTTCTGTAGTTTGTACTTTCATTGCTTCCAATTGATTAGTTACTGTCTCTAATTTGGAAATCTTTTTCTCTTTGACATCTGATAATTGAGCAATAGAAGCGTTCAGAGATTCTTCCACGAATTTCAGTTTTTGTAATTCAGGTTTAGAGACATCGACTTTACTTATAGACTCTTTCAGGACAACAAGAGCTTGTTTGAGAATTGGTTTTTGAACTTCAAGCATTTCTGGTTTTATAATGGCAGTTTTAATACTTTCAATTACAAGCGAAACTTCTTTAAGTGGTTGATCCAAACCTTGTATTTGCTCAATACATGCTATAGGCAATTCTTTGGTAGATTCTTCTTTCGATTCTAAACTGTTAATAGTTTCTTGTAGTGTCTGCAGAGATGTATCCAATTCGATTATCCCAATTGCAGCCATTTGGGGCTGTTGTTTAATTTCGGTAGTCTGTACTTTCATTGCAGATAATTGTTCATTTATTGTCTCTAATTTGGAAATCTTTTCAATCACAACTTGGTCTTCATTCAATTTAGCTATTGAAGCAACTAATTTATCTTCAACTAGTTTCAAATTATTCAGCTCAGGTTTCTCTAATGTTACAATGCTTATAGACTGCTTTAGTGCAACCAAAGCTTCGTTCAGCGCAGGTTTTGTCATTTCTATTATTTCCGGTTTGGTTAGACTTGCTTTTAAATTTTCAACTACAGCGCAAATTTTATTTAAAGGTTCCACCAAGATATTCGCTTGATCCTCATTCAGAGAAGAAGCAATGTCTTTTGCAGATTCCTCCATTACATCCTTCAAAGTTTCAATGGTGTTCTCCAATTCAATAACAGTAACAATTCCTTTCTGTGGTTCTTGCTTCATAATTGCCGTAGCCTGTTTAATCTGCGCAATATTTTGTTGCAACTGAACGATCGGAGTCTTCACTGCTTCTATTGACGTAACAATTTCATCTTGTTTCTCCGATAGGCTACCCATCATAGCTTGTAAACAATCACCCATCTTTTCGATCTGCTTAAATTGAGGCTTCGTTTGATCGATTTTCTTCAAGGATTCCAGCAGAGCAAGCACTGCTTTCCTCAGGTTTGGTTTCTCTACTTCCATCAAAGCAGGATTTTCAAGTACGTTTCTGATGATACCAACAACATAAGACAATTCTTTCAGCGGTTCTTGTAAACAGTCCAACTGGTCCATACAATCCAAGAACAAATCTTCGACTATCTCCGAATCCTCGACGAGTGATATGGTTTCGTTCAATATCTCAAGCGGTAGGAGCAATTCTAGAAGACCCATTTGAGGTTCCAACTTCTTATCAGCGAATACAGCTTGAATTTCGTTCAGTTCAGTATGCAATTTAATAATTGGAGCCTTCAATGATTCTAATTTGATTTCAGCTACTAAAACGTCTTCAACTTCTCTCAGTTTTCCTGCTAACGGTATTACTTTTTCTAGTTGCGTCTCCTCCAATTTCTTAGCAATTTGAGAGAAGGATACTCTCAACGTTTCCATTTCTAGGGTTTCTCTATTACCTATAGCTTTAGTAGCCAAAGAAATAGCTTCGGTGAATTCTTGAATTGGTCCTTCAATCAACTCCCAATCGGCGATAGTTGCTTCTTTGATAATTTCTAATGGTTTTTCCAAATCTCCCACACTTATCAATGCTCTTTGAGGCTTTTCCGAGTCTTTCTCGATAACAGCGTTCATTTGGTCTACACTTAATTGCAATTTGGTCAATGGATTTTTAACGATAGCCTCTTTTATATCAGTAATCTTCGCTACCATCAATGTATTGGCTTCACATTCAATGTTTTGTTCTACTAAACATGCAGAGTTATCCATTAAATTAGTCAAAGCATGCATTAACTTTTCTTCAGTTTGTAATTCAGCAATAGCTGAAGCTACATCCTCCAAAGGCTTTTGCAAACATTGCAAGTTATCCTCTTCCTCGGTTTCTATTTTAGTCTCTAAAACACCCAAAACTTCTTCCAACACTAATACGGCTTTTAGTTTCTTAGCCTCTTCGACGTTTTCCACTTTAGACTTTAATATTTCCAATTCGCTTCGTAATTTAGTAATAGGCAATTTGATAGAAGTGCTTTCTTCTAATTTTGCGATACATCCAATCAACTGATCCACTGGCTCTACCAACATTTCCTGCTTATTTTCCTTCTTTTCAACAATAGATTTAACTTCTTTCAAGTTAACTAAAACTTCCTTCACACTAGCCCTGTTACCGTCCAAATTTTTCTCCATCATCGTTGCTAATTTTTTCAATGGAACTTCAAGAATTGTAGCATTTTCTGATTCGGGCAAGCACTTTCTTAAGTTATCCAAGGGAAGTTTTAATTCCTCGTGTTTTTTACATTCGGCAAGTTTTACCTCGATTTCTTTGATTGGTTGTAAAACAGTTTGCAAGCTTTCATCTTTAATATCTTTGTTTATGTTTTGAACTGTTTTGCAGATTTGAGAGTTAACATTTAACAGTGCTTCTTTAAGAGGGACATCGTTAACGACTTCAGATGCTTTAACAATCTCCTTATTCAAGTCCTCCAACTTTTCTAGGACAATCGGCCTTTGTATCTTCAAAGCTTTCTCGTTGTTCAACACGTTATTTACCGTTGATATGGCAACAGCCGCTTCCAAAATTGGCGTTCCTAAGTTAGTCATGACGTCAACAGAAGATGTCTTATTTAAAGCATTTAACAATTCTTGAGAAGCGGATTGAATTTCTATGATCCTAAGTGCACCAGTTTGTTCGCCTTTAACTTGTTGCAACTTCGTCTTCATACTCTCCAAATTACTTGTTAATTCAACCAAAGGCATTTCTATTTTCTTTAAAGAATCTTTGGCTTTCATTAAGTCCAAATGATGGAACAATACTTTCATGGGTTTCTGTAATTGTTGTTGCTTTACTTCGTCTTGACCAAGAGTTAATTTTTCTATGTTTTCTTTAACGCTAGATAGTGCGATTTTCAATACATCCTCCTTCTTTACCTCTGTTGTAGTTTGTAGAGATTTAGCTACATCCTGCATAGACTTAATGATTTCCTCGCTGATTTCCAAGCCAGGAATAGCTTCTTTGATATCGATTAATGGCTGTACCATTTCAGCTATTACCATTTTTTTAGACATTTCAATATTGGAGCTTTCGTTTGTCAACGAAACGCACGACTCTTGGATTGTGTTCAAAGTTTTCTGTAATCTGCTAGTTTTTTCTACCGCAGTCTTCACTGTAACCATCTGTTCCTTAAGGTTTTCAGCAAACTGACTCTGATTCCTTTCCAAAAATACTTGAATAATTTCATTTAAACTCTCGATGTTTTCAGGCTGCTGCAAAACTGAATCAGCGGAATCGCTGAAAGCGTTCAAAGGTATAATATCATCTAACGATAATTCATGTTGTTCAGGTAACGCTACAGCCTTCACTGGCTTTCCTAAACATTCGTTCATCTCTCGGAAGGATCTTTCGAATCTACTGAGAGCAATCTCTTTGGCGATGCAAATCTCACGCTCAACTACTTTTTCCGTTGTTCTGGACACGTCTTGCAATGGTTCCAAGATGTCCTTGATTATAGAATCTTGATTTACGCTAGCAACGACCACTTTCAAATTATCAGAGACCTCTTTCATTTTTATGACCATGCCATCATCTACTGAAGGTTGTTCAACGAAACTGTTGAATTCTTGAATGCATTTAGAGATATTATCCATTAAGTGCAAGTCATCAGATGATAACTTATCGTTGTTACTGATGAGGATAGTGTCCGAAATGAATTGCATGGCAGTGAGTGGACGTGGCATTTCGGTGGCCAAAATCCTCTTAGTTTTGTTATCCATTTTAATATCCAAACTGGCGACTGTCTCTTGGAAATACTGAACGGCTTCTTGCAAATCCCTCAATTGTCTAGCAACTGGTTTCTCTTTAGCTGGAGGAGTTTCAAGGAATTTCAAAATGTTGATCAGCAAATGCCTAGTCGAATCTGCTGTTTCCAACGTGTTTCTAGTTTCATTGATTGTGGTAATTAATTTCTTGTGCTTTTGCTCTTTAACAGTTTCATTGTCTTTAATGAAATTAACAAACTCCCTGAGCAATTTGTCGGTGTTTTCAATGACGCTAAGATCGCCGGGAACTTGAAGCTCGTTGATGTTTAAAACGATATCGAAAAATATCCTTTGCTTATCCTCAGGCACATTCTTAACTTTAGTCAAGACGCTTTGAGCCTCGCTTAAGGTTGCGTGGAAATTGTTCAAGGCGGTTGTGTCTGCTGTAATCTCTGGGATGTTTTCAATTAGATTAACTACGTTCTTAACAGTTTCCTCCAAAGATTCCATGACACTTTTAACCGGAGAATCCTTTTCGACTGCAACCACGGCCAAAGTTAACTCTTCCACTTTTACTTTTACGTTCTCCACAGGAACTTGCGTACTGCTTATGCACAGTTTTAGCATTTCCAAAGCAGATTCAGTCTGCGCTATAGCAGCTTGATCCTCTGCCTTCAAATTATTGATGTTAACTGTATTCTTACGAATGGACTCATCGAGGTTGATAACTGATCTCTTCAATTCCACCAGCGCAAGTTTCTTTTGGCTGTTCAATCTGTGCTTCTCTATGTCCGAGACTGCATCTTTTAGATCTTGCATATTCTTGATGGCAAGTTCAGTGCCGACGAAGGATTGCCTCACGGACTGTGCGGCATTTATAATCGGTACTGCAAGATCTTTTAAGCAGGACTTTTCCAACATACTCAAATGTTGCTCCATGTTAGCAAGATTGGTGCTAAACTCTGATGTAGTTTCTTGATTTATTAAACTTTCGTTCATCGAAATTAGCATCTGCTGCGACAATTGCAAAACGTTGTGTTCTTCGATTCTAAGCGAATCTAAGTGGATTGCTTTCAAAGAATCGGATGCTTTTAATGGTGAAAGAAGTGTAAGAATTGCCTTCTGCCTAGAATCGCAAGATTCTGCTGTTACTACGACAGTTTCGATTGCATTCAATATTGGTTTTAACAACTCATCATCGAGATAGTACAAAACTTCTTTAGGCTCCTCTTGAAGTTCGGCAACATTTTCATCTTGAAATATTTGAGGAGACACCAACATTTCAAATGACTCAACATCCTCCTCAGGTTTAAGCTCTTCCATTTTAGCGACTTGGCTTTCTTTCAGGTATTCTTCGCCTGGTTGTAAAACTTTGATGACTATTTTGCAGATTTTCTTTATGGCTGGAGTAATATTCCTCAGCGGTGATTCGCGCAGTTTGGTTCCTGCTTCTACCACCTCTTGCGCTTTTTGTTCGACCTCCACAAGCATATCTGGAGTGCTATCGGATTTGGCTACAATATTCTCCACTTTATTGGCAAAATTCTCCACGTTTTTCATGTAATTAGTTTCATCGTCATTCAATGTACTTTTCTCAATCGTCTCTGATGCAATTCCTCTAATATTTGTCAAGTATTCGTTGAGAACCAATTTTTGTTCTTCAGGGTGCATGCTTTCAAGCTTTTCCTCGATGTTATCGATGGGTTTGGTGAATTTGCTCTCAACATAAGCATCGATATGTGCTCTACCTAACTGCTCTACAATCATTGGTGTATTTGATTTGATGGATGTTAAAATTTCCACTAAAGGTTTTGTTACCAAACTAGTATTTTCATTCATTTCGAAACTGAATTCTCGTTGTGCTTCTGAATCTCTTTCAGCTACAACACAAGAATTTAGTTGTTCAAGGAAAACATTAGCATCACTTATCAATTTCAAATCTGCTTCGTTTAAGTTAACACACATCAAATCGTTGACGGACATCTGCATGGACATCAGCATTTTCTGCAAATCGATGACCAACTGTTTGTTCACAGAAGCAGATTTGATTTTTGCAATATTTTTAACAATCTCTTGTGCACATTCAGACAAACGTTGGATTTGATTTGCGTTTTCGTTTTGCTTTGTAACAGCAACACTTAAAAGATCTCTTAGTTCTGATTTGAATGCGCGATGCTCATCGCCTTTGAGATTGTCCAAAGATTTCTTAAGATTTTCTGCGCTCATTTCCTGCGGATATTTCAAAAGCGAAACTAATATCTGCTTCAACTCTGATTCTTTGGGTACGTTTTTCAAAGGAAGTAGTTGCAATTTTGGCTTCAATTTAGAGAATAATATGTTTTCTTTGCTTCTATCCATTACCGATTTGATGAGAGTTTTAATTTCGTCGCGAGACTCGGTTATTATCTTCAATATCGGAACACATTCGGTGGGCAAGTTTTGTGATGAAAGTTCAGTTGATTGACTTACTTTCTGAACGAAGTCGTCTAAACTATTTAAGTCGTGAATAGAATCTACCACTCTTTCGATTTCTGTTAACTGTTCCATAGAAAGGTCTGTTTGCAAAGATTCGTTCAATTCTTTGACACATTCGCGTTTAACAATATTCTCACCGAATGTTACAATAGTTGGTACTTGATGTCCTAACTTTCTTGCTTCAATCAATAAGTTTTGTGCTGAAGATTTTACTCCCACACTCGAATCTAACGCTTTCTTCATTTCTATAAGCAAATTACACAATTCTTCTACTTCTTCACTGGCGGTGAAATCTTTGAATTCCAATTGCAAATCGAGATCCTTGGCTGCATCTTTAATTTTCTTGAAAGAATCCACTTTAGTTATAGTCGTGTTCAACTTTTCGAGAGGTTTGTTAAGAGATTTGATTTCCACTAAATCAGCAACTGTAATGACTGGTTCTTCGGTTTGCGCAAATAGAGCAGTGGAACTTTTCAACTTTTCAACGCAGTCTATAACTTCATTGGCATTTGCAAATAGCTCCATTTGTTCAGCTGTTTCGAACTCGATACCCGTTTCAAGTTTAGCCAAGGACACTTGTAAAGTGTTAACTGTTTCTATGAAAGCTTTAGTTGCCGTTTGCGTTGGTTGCACATCTGGTTTTTCCATCATTATTGGAGCAGTTTGAATTGCGGCGATGCACCTCTTCAATTCGACTAATCTATTAGCAACGTCCTCTTCCGGGATAGAATCTATAGTCGGATCAACCAATTCCATTTTAACTGAATCAGTTTTATGTTCTTGGGATAAGGTCTGATCGGTTAACACCAAAATGTTGTCTTTAACCTCGTGCGTGCGTCCTTTGAGTATTGAAAACGGTATGAAAATGTTCACGTTCTCCTCTAATCTCTCGTCCAGGCAGATGCAGTCCTCGAGAATACTTAAACAAGCTATCAAATCATCCAATATATCTGAAGGCAAAGAACTGGAAACTTCTATGATTTGATTATTAATCATTTCAATTGGTTGCGCCAAACTTTCTAAAGCCAAGATTGCGATTTCTGAATTATCATCGGTTACTTTTTGCACCACACTGGCAAAGTCCTTCTGCAGACTGGACATTTGTCGTAAAGCCTCTAAAACCTTTGTGTTGTTTATGGATTTCTGCGCGGTTTCTATATTGCTTAAGAAATCCTGAACTGACCTCGACATGTTATCCAGAACTAAATTTCTCACTTGATCGAACACTTCCTGCACGATCTCTTCAGTAGATCCGCAGCTTCTTTTACCAAGTTTCGATAAACTACCAATGACCTCTTCCAATGGTACTTCGAACTTCTCCAATTCCAAAGAAGCTCTAGCATTGTTGCACTCCTCCAAACTTCTCTTCAACTCTAGCACAGGACTCGAAAGTTGATCGAGAATTGCGTAATGCAGCTCATGAGAATAAGCGATTGCATCGTTTTCGACTTTCTTTAGTTCATCGCATAATATTTTGATAGGCGTTTGCAATTTTTCACTAATTAATTTAATTTCCAACTGTTCACCTTTCATCGATAAATCTCTCAAACTGTTGATGGCATCTTTCATTTCGAAAGCGGGTTCTGCGAATTTTAAAAGCACATCTGTATTTTCCGGCTTCTCTTGCAAGACTTTCTTTGTTTCAATGATAAACTGTGATTTATCAAGGCCTGATTGCAGTTCTTGAATGGTGATTAATACTTCTTGTATTATTTTTGAGGGCGTTTGACGACCGGGAGCTTTGACAGGGATCATCTCCTTCTCGAGTAAGGTCATCTCTTCTATGAGCTTTAGGCCGGACTGAATTTTCTTGGTGTTCGTTGTTAAAATATTGATGCATGTTCTTTGTATTAACGTGTGTTCTTTACCTTGCACTTCAATACACTTTCCAGCAACGGATAGGCTTTTTTGTAACTCAAAAATCGGAGGAGCTATCAATTCGGTAATGGGAATGTCTTCCTCCTGTTGTTCCAATGCTTGAAGGAACGTTTCTATGTCTTTGATTGGTTCAACGATGCTGTTTAACATTTCTAAGCTCTTATTGGCAGCGGCAGCTGTAGTTTTCAGAGAGGATTGGATTAGCAAATCTTCCTCGACTTTCAGTAAACCACCTTGAATATCGAATATAACTTCTTTCAGTTTCTGGCAAATTTCTTTTTCGGTTTTCTTCAATTCTTTGATAATAGCTTTCTGCTCTTCGGGGTCTATTACTAAACCGTCTCCTTCTTCGCCTTGGATGTCTCTGAAGAAGGGTTCGCCCATTTCTAAACTGTGCGCCTTCTTGAATTTCAATTCATCGTCGGAACTATGTGACGAGTGTCTGCTATTTCTTCGTTTTCTTCTCATTTTTCTCCTGTCATCATCCAATCTGTTCACGCGCAAATCTGATCCTATTTCGTGTGTGTTCTGAGGAGTCGCCGAGGATTCCCTCAAGTCATCTCCTGGTAAGCTCGTGGTTTCAGTAATTGCAGCCACTTGATATGCAATGTCCGTCTCGTGTTTCGAATCCATCGCGCTTTCATATTCACTGTCCAAATCAACACCGGCCGCAAGACTTTCGTCTCCGGTTTCAGAGCTATTCTTCGTCAAACTGTAATAGGTACTCTTCTGGGAATCGTTCTTCCTGCGCGGAGGCCTCCTGGGGCCATCACCGTTGCTATCCGGGGAAAACGCTCTCGTCTCGTCGGAAATCGAATATATTTCATCAACATCAGCTTCTGTACGTAAATCCTCCTCGGCCGAAGTGAAATAGTCTTCGGAAACATCGACCACCACCGCTTCCATGAGTAAATTACCAGACGTCGACGTTTCTTTGACAAATCTCATGGGCGGCAGTTCGACAATATTATGTGCTAAAAAACTGCGCTTAGACTCCCTAAGGGTTAGTTTTAAAGCCACTTACCTGATACGTGCTCGGACAATTGATCTGCGTACATTTCCACGATTTTGATTGCCTCCTCTTCGGTAATATCCGGAGTCTCGTACAATGAAACGGAAACTTCCTTTCCATCGAACGAAAACGATATTTCTCCATGATCGTTCAGGGTCAGAGAAATATCACCTTGAGGAGTATCGTACATCTGAGAAGTCCTCTCTTCATGAATAGTTGATAGCGATGGGACTCTCGCTAATTCGATACGTTGTTGCTCCGCTCTAGTTTTACTTTGATCTTCGAATCCTAACAAAGAAGCAGATGATGCCACTGTTCCCATACAGTTACGAGCTTCGCAAGTATAAACACCCAAGCAGCAAGTTCCATCCTGCAATAGTTTAGTTAGCATTAGGTATTAAAATAATTATGAGTTATTGACTATCGCACCTCTCCGGATGTTATCCTATGTATATCACCAGGTTTTAGTTCAACGCCATCCTTGTACCACTTAAGAACAGGTTGCGGAACTCCAATTACTTTGCACTCTAAATTAACAGCGCCCTCTTCAGACAGCACAGCTCGGAGGCATTCCAGGAAGCGAGGACGTTTGAAGTGTTTGGGGACTATCATGCGCAGGAAACAGGACGTTACGGAATGACCGAATTCATTTGTAGCCACGCATTTCCATTCCGCTTGATCGATGAACTCCAAACGCACGATATCCAAATTGCTTGTGCCCGAAGACTCATTCTTTACGAGATATCTATCCGGTTCGATTTCTATTGGATTATCATCTCTGTACCAAGCCAAAGAAGGCATCGGAGATACGTTAACTAAAAACACAAAATAGAATACATCGTCGTAATTTCCTTTAATAATATTAAAAAAATACCTTGAACTGTAAATCTGAAATGTTCGTTAATTTTGCCTTCGCAGCTTCTCAATCCGTGAATGAACTTCGGCGCTTGACTCTTCAAAATGAGTTGCTGGCGTTCCTCGTCGTTCAACTGGTTTTGGATATCCTCCACCGTTAACTCTGCTGAGCTGTTCGCTTCGCCCATGCAGTTCTTTGCGATGCAGCAGTAGGATCCCAAAGAATTGGTGCCCGTCAATTGGTAAACATCCCCCGGCTTCAGCTCGTGCCCATCCTTGAACCATCTGAGCAACGGCGTCGGTGATCCGACGACTTTGCATTCGAAAGATACTAAACCCTCTTCCGTTAAGACGGCTTTGAGACTTTCCATGAATCTTGGTTTACGGAAGTGCTTAGGAACTAAAATGATGATTGTTCAATTATTAAGGTATGTAGCTTAAGGAGTATATACTAACTGATCATTTTAATCTGGCAAGTGGAGCACGAATTGACACCGCCCGAACTGGTTGCGATGCATTTCCACTCTCCAGAATCACAAGCTTCCGTGGGTTTAATTTCTAATCCGTATCCGCCCAATCCATCGGCTCTTTCGTGGTACCTCGAGTCTGCACTTTCCGACTCGATCTTTCCTTCTGAATTGTACCAGGTTATACTTTTCGGCCATGGTGGGACAGCAACTTCAGATAGAAAACAAACAGATATTTAATAATTAAAAATCATGAATTATTTGTTATTCAATATGATTCTCATCAATTTCAAATAACTATTGAAGGTAATGTAAGGTAATATTGCTTCATAAGTTTGAAAAAGTATTGATTACACTATGTTATTATTACTAGATGATTAGTGTTGTAAAGCATGCGTGAAATGTAATTCATTGAATACCTTGACAGGAAAGCTGCAACGTGTCGCCGATCTTAATGAATTCATCTTGAAGATCCCTAGAAAATATTGGCGCTGGTCCACTCGGAGTGCTTGAAAGGTAATTCAATTATTATTTTTAATTGCGATTGCACAATAAGATTTGAATTACCTGTCGGCGGGTTTCATAGAACCCTCGCGACTTCCACGTCCCACCACGTGGACCTTCGAGGTAGAGTATACCTTGCCCATGCAGTTGACAGCCTCGCACGTGTACGTCCCCAAAGAGGTCGGATCGTCGGGGTTGGCAGTGAGGGCGAAAACATCTCCTGCTCTGATCTCCCTTCCATCCTTGAACCATCTCAGCAGAGGCGTCGGCACTCCGACCACCTTGCATTCCAAGGAAACCGTACCTTGTTCTGTAAGTAATGCGCGTAGATTCTCGAGGAACTCTGGCGCTTTGTATGTCTTAGGAACTGAAAATCAAAGTCAAAAACAAAATTGTGATAGGGTCCCATCAGAATTGGAGTATTTTGTACATACTTAAGACGTTTAATTGGCAGGAACTCTTTACGGTTCCCGAGTCGTTTGTAGCTTCGCACTTCCACAGTCCAGCGTCTTGAGCTATGACAGGAGCGACATCGATGCAATGAAAGCCGCATTCGTTGACGAAGCGAAATCTTTCGCCCTCCTTTACAAGCGTTTCGTTTTGATACCATTCGATCTAAATTTAAGCCAAAACAACAACAAAATAACTCATCTAAATCAAGATTATATTAGAGTAATCTAAAATGTCAGTAAACTAAATATTGTTCATTAAAATCAAATAAGTGTCATTTGCTAATCTAGAAAAAACAAGTTCAAAACCTAATATTATGAAATGATGGATGGCATAAGGCAAATGTTCAAAAATTCGTTTACATAATTTTAGAATAAGCAAAAAAAAAACTATAAATATAGATCAGCGTGTGCGTGAATGTGTCTGTCTGTTCTGTAGCTGAGCTATTATATGCCTCCACCTGTGTGACTGAATGAACAGAGGCGAGCGCCTACAGAAAATCTATATTTATTGGAAGCGCGCATCACCATCATCATCTCGATGTGGTACTTTGTACACTGCTGCGTCATCGCATGTTATTTACCGTAAGGTCAGTGTAGCTTTTGATCTCCACTAGGAACCTAGTGCGAGTTCCCACTTTGACGGTGAGGTCGTTCAGCCGACGGAGGAACGCCGGTGCCTCATCCTCGGCTGCCAAATGTCCTTCGGCGGTGACCCGCAGCTCCAGGTCTCTGCACGCGGTACCCGCCGCGTTCTTGGCGGATACAGTATAGATCCCGGCATCCTGCTTCTGCACCTCGTCTAAAGCTAACTGCACCAAGTTGTTCGTTGTCTTGATCTTGTGTCTTGGCGCCGGTTCCGGTGGCAATGGCTCTCCATCCTTTGACCTGCAAACAAATACAAATCATTAAATCCGTATACCTAATTCAATTTATCATTTTATCTTACAATTTATCAAATTCTTATGAAAATGTTTATGACTTTTAACTATTCAATACAATTGTATATTATTCTTACTTAAGATATATAATTACAAAATTAATTGCATCTTTTGTAACTTTGTCTATTGTTATATTATTGAATGGCCAAGATAGTATAAATATATCAATAAATTCAAATACATTATTATAAGATTATATACATATACACACGATCCAATTAAATCAATCGTCGATAATCTTAGTACATAAATTATTATGTTTATATTATCTTATTAATAGCTGTAAAACATTATTATACAATTTATACAACAGAAATAGAAAATACAACTTTGCTCAATTGTTTTCTTAGCTTTTAAAAGAAATAATCTCATAAATTAACTAAAACAAACTAAGCATTTCATTATTTACTTTCGATGACAGTCGAAACATTTAGATGTTATATAGAAAAATGGCATTTCATACAATAGATCAGCGTTTCTTAACATATGGGTCGCGTTAACTTTTTAATGAGTCGCGAAATGACAGCTGTCATCTTACGTCAAAGCGTCAAAATATGTATGCTGTAAACAATTGGGTCGCAGTACAACTATATTAAAAACGAGTATGTTGGTTCGCACATGGTTATAAGTCTAAGAAACGCTGTACAAATCTTATGTAATTAATACAAATTGTTTGAGATTAAAATAATTTAAATATGAAAACTGTATACAAAATAAAAATATTTCCTGTAGTCTTCAAAATTATTGTAATTATTTACACTTTTAAGGTACAAATTAAAAATATTCATACATATTTCAAAATACTTATACTAAATACTAAATACTATATACTAAATTATACTTTTTGGCCTCCTTAGGTCGTTTCAAATTTTACTAAAATATCTCAATTGTGTCCAATCTATGAAAATTATAGAAATGTCTAAATCATTGTTAATATTACGTGCAGTTAATACTAATTTTAGAAGTATTATTTTAAATTTAGTTAAATGAAATTAATTACTTTCGATTGTCAGTTATTGATTATAGTAGACCGATTTATGTAGACAGTCGAGATTAATTTAAGATTTAGGTCAGCTACTTTACGTGTTTTATAATGCACTAAAACAGATAAATATTAGACTAAAATACTGTTGCTGGAGAATGTGGTCTAATTATAGATGTACGTGTCTAAAATATACTGGAAGATCATTTGTTATTTTAAATATTAGATACGAAATTCTTAAACTTAGAAGATGCTTTGAATATCTTCACGAAAGTATATAAAAAATGCTAAAATGAAATAATAAAAATATAGAAATATCGATCCACGAAAAAAGAAACATTATTTTTATTGTAACTACTTGCAGTCTGCACATGCATTGAATATAAATATAAATATTATGTGAATTGAAACAAACAACTTTTTCGATTGACACAAACATAAACGATTATAACAGACAGCACACGTTCTTCATATACATTACTCAATGTATAGTATTTAATGTATGTACATTACTGCTTTGCTATATAGGGTATATAGTACATATTGACATAGTGTTTCAGCGGATAAGTCGGCGCCTTTAAGCCGAACAAGTAGACGCCCATCAATCTTACATCATCCAAACAAAAAAGAGTACATATGAAAATATGAAATTATTCATCATTCCATCATGTATAATTTACTTATATAATTGTATATTAAAATTATTAAAAAAAAAAGAAATATTAAATATTCAGAAGTATATTTTTTTTTGGGGAATAAAGTAATTTGTAAAAGCAGTAGATTTTATGTAAGAAATCATTTATTTCATGATATATACATACATGATATTAAAGTAACTTTACAAAAAGGTTAAATTAGTAGTATTGCCAATATTGTTATATTAATCCTTAATATATCAACAATTAAAACTTGCAATTTTCACAAAGTTTTATCTAAACAAATGTCTTAGTATATTATTGGGTGAAGTAAAAAGTTTTGAGCGTTTTTCTTTAGATGGCTTAGTGAGCCATATCTCAGGATGTATACGTTGCATCTTGTCATTCTGTACTGCGACTTAAAGGCGACATAACGCTCTAAAAAAGGTTCTTTGACAGTTTTGTGTTTAATGAATCCAGTTGTGTGTTAAAGCGTTCCAAAATGGAGGTAGAAAAAGAGAAAATTCTATACATTTTTCAGTACCACTATGACCAAAAAAAAATGTATAGTTTATGGACGCAATGCAGTATCGAATGCAACAGCAAAGCGTTGGTTCTGATGCCTTCGTTCTAGTAATATGGACGTCGAAGATTAGATACGCTCTAGTATGCCAATCGTCAAAAATGTTGATAAAATCATAGAAATCGTCGAGTTGGACCGACAGAAAACCGTTTGGAACCATTTGCATAAGGCTGAAGAAGCTCGATGTATGGGATAAAAGGCTCAGAATAATACGAAAATGCACTATAATATACCAAAATCATCTTCACTATCACTGCAAACTAGAAACTGATTTAAATTAGTTATTGCAATTTCATAATGTCTCATTAGAAAAATCTACAGTGGTACAGTGGATAATTTAAATGTTGCCACTTGTCATTGCAAACTCTAGTTGTCATGGAGACCAATGACAGTAAAACTGACGTCTATTAGAAATGCAAATTTGGAAAATTGAGTTAAATATATATACTTTGTCACGTTCTGTAACTAAAGGAAATTCCTACAAATGACAATGAATTTACCGAATTTACAATAAGTAATTATTAGACGATATAAAATAAGTCTTGATTTCTTCAATAAAGTCTCTAATAATCAATTTTGTTTCCTCTTTGGAAATTGATAATGAGTTTTGATGCGTCAAAATAATAATTGCTGTCACTTTGACATAATTCTTATTGACATTTCAAGAACTTTATTTACTTGTAGCAGAGATATTCAACATTCTATCCCAGTAGTAAAGAAACTTCGCAAGAGAAGATCAAATTGCATTTATAAAAAAAAAAGAAACTGAGATTTTGCAAGTGTTTAGAGTTAATAATATTCGGATTTGTTGCGCATCGTCGAAGATAAACTGTCCACGTTCAAACTGGATTGCGATAATTTATCATCTGGACAGAATTCATATCTATTTTCGTTGCACAGTAGAAAACAGCATAAAATTCAACAAACACACAGAAAAAAAAAAAGAAACAACTATGTGTGTTTATCGTGCGTATCTTTTATTATTAGAAACTACAAAAAAAAATCTACGATTTCGTTGCATAACGCGAAAGCTCCGTTTGAATCCGGATGAGCGAACAGGAAGAAGCGGAATGCATCGTGTTTATTTCGGATAAACGAGTTGTGCATGTGGAAAACGCTGAGATAATAATGTACGATGGGAGCAAAGCCAAGATGACATCAAAACAGTGTAATGGGCAGATGCAAAATTAAATCCAATTTAAAAATAAATATTATCGTTGGCAAAATATCGATGATAAACAATCCATTCGGAGCGATGCTGTAATCCGCGTATTGATTTTGATTTGGAAGAGCTTTTGCGTGTTTAGTTACCAATCGGCATCGGTGGTCCAGGAGGTGGTTGTACCAGAAGAAGCGGCAGCAGCAGCAGCAGCGGCTGCTGCAGCAGCGTACTTCTGTTCCGCCTTGTTGTTGCTGCACTTGCAGCACTTGCTCACTTTCGTCCCCATTTTCCGTGCGCTGTTATTATTGCATTTCCCGAATCCCAATTCAAATTGGATTCAATTCAAACTTTCGAATATGGATTGCTATAAATAACTCCCGTCCAATATGTGTGTCAAAGCACACAACAATGACCCCAATCCGACGCGTTTACGGATCCATCATTTCCTTCTTCTCAACGCATCCAACAAATAAACAAACTAACAAATAATTAACAATTAACGCGGGATTACATTGCCACAAGTTGATTATATTATTTTTTTGGTAGGTTTTTAACGCACTGATCAATTTCGTTTTTTAAAAATTATCGTTTCTCCCTTCAAAATTTTCTTGTAACTTTCGGAAAATCGCGGACGCGTACTCGGCTCGGACCACCTCAACGACTGGTCATTTGACGGCGTCGCGACGCCCGCGTCTCCGGATTATTTTTAAAGCTGCGAAAAAGCGACGCGCACCGAAAATCACATAGATCCACCACACTCAAAAGTTAAATACACACACATATGGACTCCACACACACACACACACTCTTGATAATGGGAATCATTAAACCCATATGTCTTGCGGTACTTTCTGTACGTGGGCTAAAATAAATCGAGATCTTGTATACAGTCCAATTTATTCGCAAATCTATTCCTGAATCTCAATACATTATATATTTCGGTAATTTTCCATTGATCTCGAACGTGTAGAACGCATATGTTTCCTTATAGCTTCGCTTTAATAGACTATAACTAGTTCATAAAGTAAATGGGCATGTACATTTAGATTCTTCAACGAATACAAGTTATTTTTTTATCTTATTTACGCAGCAAATTCTCATTCAGTTTATTATGTCATATACTTTCAAATACTTGTCAAATAGCGTGCCAAAATCTTGCACAATCAGTGCTCAATTAAAGTACATATTGCTTTCACATGTTATAATCATTTACGTATTATTGAACGTACTGTAAGCGAGTCGTTACTGTATTTGAAAACTTTATGTTATGCAACTAATAAATAGCTCAGTTGCTACAAATGACAGTAGTCATGGAAACCAATAACAGTAAAACTGACATTTACAATTAAATAACAAAAAACAAACAAAAAACTATAAAAAATTACAAAATGTTCTATTTTATTCGCCTAATAATTTCACATTGGTTATCTTCATATATTTCATATCATGAAACTTCGATACTTTACATGAAAATTATTTTTCCATGTTTTATCAATCGAGAGGTTCTGACTCATCGGCAGAATTTATTTGCGTTCAATAGAGAAATGACGAATTGGAATGAACCAAACTAAATCTGCACAGTTATTCTTAACTACTGACAACTATCTATTCTGACTATAAATATAAGATTTTTAAACTTGCATTAAGAACCTGGAAAACGTAAACCTAGTAATAAATTTCATTGATCTTCTCTTTCGCGGACTGTTTAAATGGAACAGATTATAAATAAACATCAAAACTACATCAATAAACTATAAAATACAACATGCATTTGCTTACCAAGATATTTCCGTTTCCGGTCCGCACTCCACCAGCTCCGTGGACAACGTCACAGATGAACCCTCGACAGCCGACGCGTACTGCAACCCATCATCCCTGAACCTCGGAGCCAACTTTTCAACCAGTGGGCCCCCTAAAAACAAACAGAAAAAAAAATGTAAAATATTTAACAGTTTCAATTATATTTTGTTTACAAAAAAAAAACTAGAATATTTAATTATTATCAGCTGTTTTTAGATATACTGGTGACAGTTGAGAACTGTCATATTCATTATTGTCAGTTAAGGAATGTCATATTGTTAATTCTTAAACAATAACCCTTTAGCTCTTTGAAGGACGGTGGGACACGCATTGTATCACATTTTGGACATGTCTAGTGGGGCTTCATTATAATTTTCTTAGGGTGAATCCATACCATCCTATGTTGATTCAGTTGACGAACTTGTCTGATACTACTAGGATGATACTAAACTAATTCTGAGTTGAAAATATCATCCATCCAAGAATTGTCACACACATTGATTAACTATCATAAGCTGTCAAATGTAAAATACTCAGTTGTAGACAATTGACACTACCATTGCGATTCATATGTTTATATCGACTTTTGTTTATTATACTATTTTCTTATGTTCAATTTCACGTTATTTTAAAAAATAATATTATGAGATTATTCAAAATATACTTTCTAAAATTTACAGTTCGTGTCTTTCAGGCTCTCAACTGATATGGATAAATTACAGCAGGGGTCTCCAAACTTGTAAGCCTAAAGGCTGACTCCTCGACTAAATCGCAAGGGGCCAAAACATTCTTCAAAATGAAATAGATACAAAATATATCCAAATTAACTGATGAGCATTTGGACGAGTTCAGCTGATAATTTCCACTGGTGAACATGATCCACAACTACACACAATTGTCAGTGGAAAGTTACAGCCACATAAATCTCATTAATCATAAGTTCATTATGTAAATTACCTATGTATGTCACTTATTGAATGTTTTTAGGATAAATCTCAATTACATTTAAAATGTTCAATTTCTTTATGTGTGTAAGTTATTGTGTTTCTTGATTGATCGTTAAATAAAAAAAAGATCTAAAGAAACATTTTGTATGATTTACTTACATTGTAAATTTTACAATGTGATCAAAATAAACTACGGTGGGCCGGATACCGGGCATGTTGGCCTGCGGGCCGTGTTTTGGAGACTCCTGAATTACAGAATAGTAGAAAATTGCAGCTGTCAATGTCATATATAATAATATGACTTACAAGTGTCATAATATGGTTGCATAATATTTATGTTAATTGCAACAATGAATCACCAAAATATAAACTCAATAAAATAGGTTTTTCTGCCCTATTTATGTTAGATTTTGTTACAATTATTTCAATATACACGAAAAGTAATAACATTTTCAAATATTCAAATCTTTCGACTACCTGATGGATGACTTCCGTCCAAAAATTTAAATGATAATTTAAAGTATAAATGAAGTAACGAAGCTTATGTGAATCATTTCTTAAGTATAATATCTTAAGATTTAAAATCTATGTATCTACGTATGTAAAGAAGAATGTTGTGGTATAAAATAAAGTAAAGTGGTATTGGCCGACATCTATACTCGAATTTTAAAACGCGCTCGTCTATTTTTAAAATTCGCCGTCCCGCTTCCATGGAGAACAGAGCAGAATGAAGGGAACAGAACAAAATTATCGGACAAGAATTGTAGTAAACTGCATGTGGAAACATTGTGTTCTCTCTCTCTTTCTCTCTGTCTATCTATCCGTTCCAATCAGATCAGGTATCACGTCCATGAGGATCTATTTTCGAAATGCGGAAGCCGCATCGGATAAACCGACAATAAACAAAACATTCGCTTCTGCCCAATTTGCCGTCATCCGACGTCATCTGGTTTCTTCGAGCGCGCGATAAACGACGGAGAAGGAAGGAACACACCGTTTATATTTAGATTACAGTTTGGATGCACGATACGATGATGCATATGCGTGTGTGTGTGTGTATGTATGTGTTTGTGTGGATTTGCACCAATGAATCGATCGCACGAATCGAAATGCATTTACATTATGTTCTCATTCAATTCTCGAAATTATTTTCAGACGAAAATTATATTGTGTAACCAAGTTCTGGCAGTTTTCAAGGATCCGGATTAGAAATTAACCGAGACGTTTTCCGATTTAGAACAGGAATAATAAACAACAAAATCGTCTGTTTTTTTTTACACGTATTCGAACGAAATCGAAGAGTTGAACGTCTTTCAATTAAGAAAAGCCAATTAGGAAACGGATCGCATTCGCACGCTGTGCGTACCTTTTTTTTCTACTTCTTCAATGATGTCACAGTTCAAATTCCGACTCCTGTTGCTTTCCCTTGACCAGGACAATATAAATAAAATACCCAAGGACAATTCCGATTATAATTATAATCATTTTGATTTGTATATATTTATTTATTTCATTTTTGTTGTTGCACTAATTAGCTATTAATGATCGCGCGACGCTCCGACATATTTTGCGCGTTTATAAATAAGAAGAAATTTCACAGCAAACACACACACGCATAGAGAGAGACGTACAGGACCTTGGCTTTGGCGAAAATATGTATGAATCAGTTCGAGTTCTAAAAAAGGGTCAAACACCACACATTCGAAAATGCATTTACAAGAATAAAAAAAAGGGGGTAGGTTGAAGGTTGGATGGGTGGTTGGTTTTGTTCGTTTCGGCTTCTTCCTCACATCCAGACTGACCTGATACTACTCGCATGTTGCTTAATTAAACCTCAGGTTCCCATTAGATTGACTGCACTGCACATACTACTGACCGAGCTTGTGCTAAAACAGGAGCGACGTCAGCCGGCGTCGCGACGCTCAACATCTACGTACAATTCTTTTGGAATATATAAATTTACCGCAATATACAAATATTTCCTGGTCAAAAACGGCGCCCGATCCGTATGCAACCAATAGCGCAACGCGCACAGCGTTTCCCAAACCAAATTACGTAAGATCCGCACGGATAAAAAAACTACTACTTATAAATAAACTTTGTCCACTCGATAAAGCACGTGCATTAGTTACAATTAAATTAATACCATTCTTATCAACATAAAAATGAAGCAACCAAAACTACAACATATCAATTTCTACATAACAAAATGATATTCAAATTCCATATAAAAGCAATTTTAGTGATTATTATTACATAAAATATTTCATTCAGATATTTGAACTTGATTTAATTAAGCGTCAATTCTGAACAAAAAATATTATTGAATTGATTGAGTTTCAATTCATTTAATAATATGAAAAATATCACAGATATCTTATCTTCAAAGATAAGTAAATAAGTTTTTTCTTTAACTTAAAAATAATATGTATACAAAATAATTATTCTAATAATAGCTTCAATAATATGTACTCATTCATTCAGTATATTTCTGCTAACGTTTTCAACTATGATACAGAACTTTTTACTGTGTACAATTGTAGTGAAGTAAGAAAAACAGGGGTGATTTACAGAATAGAGTAAACGGAAGACCATAAAAAACGTACAATAGAAAAAAAAACTTTTACTATTGCAATAGGGTGTAAAATATTGGGGTTTCAGTGATACATAGCTACGAGGGAGAGAGAAAAAATATTTTAACACTAAATGTAACTAAACTATGTTATTTTCTGATTTTGGAATGTAACAATAATATTGTATTTCTTTATGTCTACTATTCTACATCTCTGTGTGATTAATGATTATGCACTATCTAAGAAGATAATAATTTAGTCATACGTTCATAATTAGTATTACAAACGACATTATACTAATTATAGTTTTTAGAAGATAATAATGCTAAATTATTATTTGTTTCAACACGTATTTCCCATTAGCCAGTTTCTCATTATCATATCACTTGATTTGTTACTTTAACATAGTATTGATGTTGTTTCCAAAATCAATTCCAATAAATTAATTTTGTATATTTTTGTAGCGAAATTAAAAATGATGTTTAATGAATTAAGCATTGTTGTGCTCATTTAACCTTTAGATACATTGACGATTACTGCATGTTCACAGAAATGATTTAGCTAAAGTTAACGATGATAAATAGAAAACAAATGAACCGGAATGAGGTAGTTATTAGTAACGATATAATAATGGTTAAAAATTTGAAAATATGATATTTCATAGAAATAATAAAAAAAAACTATTATTATTTATGATATTGTAACGAATGCTTGGATATAAATTATGTTTTTATTTAGTAAAATGTATTGGAAATGGGAATTGTTGTTTAAGATTTATATGTTAATGATGATTAAATTGAAACGGCGGGATTTTTTTTAATTACTATTATAATGTTGGTATAATAATGAGTCATTGTAAAATTGAAACAAACGTAAATGTAATCAATAAAACGTTTAAAATTAAACTGGATGTGTGTGATATCATATACACGCACACAAACATATTGAAGTGAATTTTAAGCCTGTTTTATTATATAAGGTATATATTATTGAATTTATGTGTAAAATTCTACAGTGTGTATAAAATTATTTGGCGGGAATTTGGATATTGTTATTATAATGTTGGTACATTAGCTTCATGATTAAGTTAAATTTTTGCAATAAATTGGACTTAATTCGTTGAATAAATAATAACTGGTGTTGATATGAGGTATAAATAATGAAATGTAATTGTTAATAATGTGGATAGGTGGGAATAGAGATGGTGGTATATTTGAAAATATGTAGGTAGAATTGTAGGTCGCCTGTAATTGGTGGAGAGCGAGCAACGTTGCATGTCTGATCGGTGGGGATGCGCAACAATGCATTCGAGGGACAGTCCGCTCGCTGGCCTCGCCATCTCTGATCCCAACAGACAGACGCTGCCATTTTCGATAAACGCCCTCACGGACGAATCCGGAGTTAAGCAAGGTACGTTTACAAAAAAAAAAGATTTTATTATCCTAGACATAACTGAAAACGCGATCTGGGGCACCGAAAGGATGCCCTGATGGCCTTCGAAGACGTCGACGATGTCCATCCATTAAATCGACACCCAGAAACGACGGAAATAACGGTAACAGAAGGACGCTGGTCGTACCCACGAACATTTTGCCTCCATATTGATGACAGCGCCAGCGGTGCTAATTTCATGAAATTTTTCGACGAAATCGAAATGCCCCCTACATCTGGCTTGCTCAAGTAATCATCTTGGCCCCGCAAATTAAAACGCGCAACGAGCGGAAATAAAAAAGGCAAAATCCTTAAGGAGACAGACCTAGACACCTCTGCACCCCCTAAACTTGACTTTCTATTTCGGAGGACCCCAAGCCGTACGCAATGGCGTCCCGATATTCGTGCCCTGATAAATGCGAATTGCGTCGTCAATGCCGTCTACCAACCGCTCGTATCACACCGTTCCATTCCGTTCACCAATGTTTACCATTTTTAATATAAGCAACACACACTTCAACAACAAGCTAACAGCACCCTGGCCTCTTAATGTTTAGGTGTAGAAGTGCAGCAACATGTCTGCACAGTTCACTGCTACGGAGATCAAACTCGAAGGAGACACTGGAGAGAATGTCACAGAAATTCAGTCCTACCTCGAAGGCTTCCAGAAGGAAATTGAAAGTGGAGATGGAACCATTGCAACTGTTGCTGGTAAATATACATTTACATCTTTGTCCCAACCGATGTATAACTTTTGATGTTTTCAGAAATTGAAGAAGGTGAAGGTGAAACCGAGGAGGGCACATACTTTGTTGATCAAGCAGGTCATTACTATTACCAGGCGAAAGGTGAATCTCAGCCTGTAATGACTGTGGTGCCTGCACTAAATGAGGAAGAAAATGGAGAGGAATTCATCATAAATGCTGAGAATGAGGAGGAGGGTGTTGATGAGGATGGAGCCAAACACCAAAATAATTTCCAAAGAATTACTGTTGTTCCAACTGGTACAGATTCAGGCAGTAATGAACTTAGTTATGTACTTATTGTACAGCAGCCGGATGAGAAGGAGGGAGAACAGACAGATGGAGATCAGGATATGACTGTGTACGATTTTGATGAAGGAGAGGAAGCCGGTATCGTTGATTCCGAAGCGGAAGATGACAAATCGAAAATTGTCAAGATATTCCCTAGGAAATCGCAGGTGGTCACTCAGGCTCATATGTGCAACTACTGCAATTACACAAGTCCTAAACGGTATTTGCTTTCGCGCCATATGAAATCGCATTCTGAGGAGAGACCACACAAATGTTCAGTTTGTGAAAGAGGATTCAAAACATTGGCCTCCCTGCAGAATCACGTTAACACGCATACCGGTACGAAACCGCATCTATGCAAGTACTGTGATGCGGCGTTTACCACGTCCGGTGAGCTGGTGCGGCACGTTAGATACCGCCACACCCACGAGAAACCGCATAAATGCAATGAGTGTGATTACGCTAGTGTTGAGCTGTCCAAATTGAAGAGACATATAAGGTGCCATACGGGCGAAAGACCCTACCAATGCCCCCAATGTACATATGCTAGTCCAGATACATTTAAACTCAAAAGGCATTTACGAATTCACACTGGGGAGAAACCTTACAAGTGTGATATTTGCCAGCAGTGCTTCACCCAAAGTAACAGTCTTAAAGCCCACAAATTGACCCATTTTGGTAAGTTTCTAACTTTGAGACCCCATCGCTTAGGAATTCTGTACTAATCTATTTCGCAATTTGCAGCCGGAGACAAACCAGTCTTCCAGTGCGAACTGTGTCCCACCACATGCGGTCGCAAAACTGATTTACGTATCCATGTGCAGAAATTGCACACGTCTGATAAACCTCTCAAGTGCAAACGATGCGGAAAACAATTCCCAGATAGATACAGTTATAAGGTAATGATACATTTCACCCACACCAAAATGATATATGTCTTCCATTTTACTGTTGCCTCATTTGTTCATCGCAAAATTGATTTCTATTCTAGCTTCACAACAAGACCCACGAAGGCGAAAAGTGTTTCAAATGCGAGCTGTGCCCGTACGCGTCCATTTCCGCAAGGCATCTGGAATCGCACATGCTTATCCACACCGACCAGAAGCCATACCACTGTTCACAGTGCGATCAATCGTTCAGGCAGAAGCAGTTGCTCAAGCGCCATCAAAATCTTTACCACAATCCGACATACGTGCCGCCACCTCCCAAAGAGAAGACCCACGAGTGTCCCGAATGTGGCCGAGCCTTCCGCCACAAGGGGAACCTGATCAGGCATATGGCCATGCACGATCCAGATTCCATGTTGCAGGAGAAGCAGCTGGCCTTGAAACTGGGTAGGCAGAAGAAGATTCAGATTATAGATGGACAGCAGGTGGAGGTGATGCCTGGAATGGATAGCGACGAAGAGGAAGAAGAAGAGGACGAGGAGGATGAGGAAGAAGAGGAAACCGAATTGGTGGGCGTCGAAAGTCCCGATGGACAGCAGTACGTAGTTTTGGAAGTCATACAGTTGGCGGACGGGGAGGAGCAAGCGATGGTGGTCGATGGGCAGAACGAAATGCTCGGCGAACCGATGCTTCAAGATGGTAAGATAAATCGTAACTAAGTGGCTGAAATCCGTGTATACTAATTGCTTTTTATTATCTCAGATATGGTTCTTAAGGCCATTACCAATTCGAGGAGGATCGAGAAACAGGAACAGAAGAAAGCGTCCACCCACGATATGGAAACTTGCTTTGGCTTCGACGAAGACGACGATGATGACGTGGAAATTGGTAAAGAGTCTATCACGTTGCTGGGGATGGACTGAAGCGGCTAATCTCATTATGTAATTGTAAATAATTTTATTGCCTTTATATGTTTTATTAATATTAGAGATTGTTTCATTTATTTTTCTAATCATTTTTCGTTAGCAATGATTACGACGATGATGATGGTAATATTTTCTTATTAAGTCTTTTTCTATTGAGTAAGAAACACGTTCTGTACATAATAATATTGTTAGTTAGATGTTCGGGGGCTGAGATATGAGTCGCTTTACTCCTATATAATTCCACTCTTATGTAGACAGATATAAGAACAGTTATCGTTCTCCCGGAAACGGAAATCAATTGCAAATATTTGTTTTCACCTTTTTTTTATTTATATATATAATATATAAATTCTATTGTGTAAGAGAATTCGATAATTTAGTTCTAGCAGTTTACTAATAGTCATTTGTTACGTATATTTATCAACAACCAAAACCAAATTTAGTTTGTATAAAGAATTATCGGCATGTTCAAGAACAACAACAGTAACCTTATTTTAACGTTATTATATGACTACCTATTGTATTTGAATAATAAACCGTACAATGTTGGCAAATCCATTTTCGTCTGCATCCGCCGCACGTTCTAAATGTAACGCTCTTGTCCATATGTGTTTAGTTAAGATGATACCAGAAGATTCGAGATGATGTGACGCCATCTGTTTGTATAAAATTTATCAGAAAATATTTTAAATAAAAGCATGAATTGTAACAGATGATGAATGGAAAAAAAATATTCATTTGTTTGCGAAATCACTAAACCAAACTCTGCTCTTCCCGCAAGTTATTTATAACACTAAAACGCCAAAGAAACAGGTCAACCACGAACGCTGTAGATGTGACCATTTTTTTTTGTACCAAATTTACGACCGGGTTTCACGCTAACGCAGACATAAATTGACGATTTTATGGCGATAGTCGTAAAAGTCCAACAAACAATATTTAATTTATTTCCGTACTCAATAATATTTTTCATATATATTAACTATAATAATTTGGATGACCAAATGCAAACTTAAACGTTTTAAATTAAATCAGAATTATCCCTCAAATATTTGCGTCATTTCAATGATTTGTCATTAATTACCACAATTAATTGCTAATGTAATAATTAAACAAAAGACACATTTGAGCGATACAATTTCTGTCAAATGAAAGCAAAAAGTTAACATTCGGTTTTCCAGAGTTTGAAAGTATGCAATTTTCTGCTTTTATTGATCATCCTAAGTGGCGGTATACATGTTAAGATGCAATAAATTTTGTAAATGTTGAAATTTTAATTTCCTTAATTATCAAAATAAACATTAATACAAGATGAAAGTAATAGCAGTAATTTCGTGTTCCTGCTATTATTTGAAGCACTGTCAGAAATTCTAGATTAGTCTTGTTCGTTTATGCAATGAAAATTCAAATTAAAAGCCTCGATATTGAAGTATTTTAGAAACAATGGAATAATAAACATTAATTGGAGGTAGAAATAAGGCAATAAACATTTAATAACAAGTACAAAGAAAGGATACATTTACAAACTGTAATAAAACGATTGGAAATTTATTATTTCATTGATTAGATATTTGCTATTTTTGAATAAAAATATGAATGTGACTAACATGAAGTTAGTCGTTGAGTCCAGTAAACAAATGACTGATGCAAATATTTATGGAGGCAATGAACTAGTTTCTTGATTAGACCGTTGACAACAGCAACTAATTACAAAAATACTGATACAGATTGTATGAATCGCATGCAAATTCTTAATAACCAATAAAAAAGTTCATGTTCGATATGGATGAGCCAATCAAATTTAAGCAAGTGGCTGGATGAAAGACGAAGCGATTGCACATCTGTGCTGCAACGTTGGCACATCGCATCTTATAAATATACTATTAGGATTGATCTAATACGAATTACCTGAAATGCAGTGCATGCGTTCCATGATTAATTTTAATTTCTGGTAATATCTGTTTGGTGTTATTACTTGAAAGTAATAACGTTGATAAAGTTTTGGTTTTAAGCTGCTGTTGGCAACATGGCATGAAAGACTAGTATAAAATCACTCATCCATGAAGAATCATCATCACATTTGTTGTTGTGTGTTTACGTTAAGATGATCAGCAAGAAGTATTTGGTTTGTGCAGTAGTACTTGCTGCGTTGGCTCTTGCCAATTGCGAGACCGAAGAGGAGAAGGCCAGGAAGGGACCAAAGGTCACCGACAAGGTATGGTTCGACATCAACATCGGCGATGATCACTTGGGAAGGATCGAGATCGGACTGTTCGGAAAGACCGTACCGAAGACGGTGAAGAACTTCGCCGAGTTGGCGAAGAAGCCGGTCGGCGAGGGCTTCAAGGGCAGCAAATTCCACAGGGTAATCCGCGACTTCATGATCCAAGGTGGTGACTTCACCAGGGGCGACGGTACCGGCGGTCGCAGCATCTACGGCGAGAGGTTCGAAGATGAAAACTTCAAGCTGAAGCACTACGGCGCCGGATGGTTGTCGATGGCCAACGCCGGCAAAGACACCAACGGATCCCAGTTCTTCATCACCACCAAGATCACCTCTTGGTTGGACGGAAGGCACGTCGTCTTCGGCAAGATCATCAAGGGTATGCGCGTCGTTAGGCAGATCGAGGGGACACAAACCGACAACAGGGATCGTCCAGTCAAGGATATTATTATCGTAGATTGCGGAGCTGAGACCGTCGAGGAACCTTTCGGAGTTGCCAAAGAGGACGCGAGGGATATTTAGATATTCTCCACACTGAAGGCTGTTCATTTAATTGTAATTTAAAGCATTTGTAACTAATTGTATTCATTTTTATGAAATAAAATACTTTTTTTTTCTAAGACCAATTTGTTATCAATTCAAGTAACATAATGGCAATATTTCGAACAATAACATCAGCTATAAAACGCTTCATCAAACTCATTAGAAACAATAGTTTAAATTTTGTGTTTTCTCAGTTTTTCCTTTCATGTTTTAAATAGAAACGAGGCTATTATCACAGATAAAAGGAGGAAAAACAACAAGATTGCACTTAATCTACTTTCATTGTGTTATTGCCACAAGCAGAAGAAATACGTGTACAATAGCCTTTTTATCTTGTTATTGAAGTCGGCAATTGTATCGTACATTATTTATTTCATTAATGTGCTTATAACTGTTCTTTAGATTGTTGATTGCTGACAGGCATAGAAATTGGATTTGAGTAAGGTAAAAGCTATGACCTTTGGAATCCCAGTCAGCACTACTCTATGATTAATAATCGGTAATTTACTATCAGATTTTACGATGAAAGTCAGACAAGTTTCTAAAGTTCACAGTTTCTCCAAAATCATATTTGTTTTTATCATCAATCTTGAAACAACAACAATTACTACTTTTTATATTTTTTGATTAATCACAATTTTTATAATTTTGAATGTGTATATACTTAAGTATTCTCTGAAAATTAGTCCTAATATGAATCGAGGATTGTCGCATTATTTATGCACAAAGAATGTTAAAAGTATTACATTAAAATTCATTAAAATCACTTTAGGAATCTCTGTTTGTGAATATTTAGTAGATCTGGAACACATTTATTCTACAAGACATGAAATGAAATACTCAATATAAATTTGAAATTTTATTTTCTTCTAACATAAATAATAATCACATAAACAGTCCTATTATAATTTAAATAGTCTTTACGAATACACATAATCTCAATTCAAGTAACAACATTCAATAATATTCCACTAAGATTATCCGACTTGATTTGATATTTAACCGAAATACGTGTAACTGTAACCCCATCATCCTCATCTGCGCTGTATTTACATTCATCTCTTCTTGAAACAACAACAACAACAAAAAAAATATGATACAGTTATTACGGTTTATCTTTTGAAAATTAGTACAAATAGATTAACAGAACAAGAAAATCGCATCAAGTCGGTACACAGCTAAGTAATACCCTGCAGCGATAGATTAATTAGTACACAATGAGAACACTTAAAATCTAACTAACATTTGCACAATAAATAGTGTTTATATTTTAGTTCAACATTTTCTTGAATTTAACGGATGTTCGGTTCGGTTTATCTTCTCACGTCGACTGTAACAATGTTTGTAGTTAGCACGGCTATTGTTGCCGTACAGCACGCGAAGAGAGAAGCATGGAACAGACAGACACCAAAGAACATGCAATAGTTTATCGTAACAGAACGATTGAGATGATTACACACTTCATCTAATTACATCCGCAAAACAAAAATACTAGACACAATCAAGCGTTTTCAATAATATTTAAAATGTTAAAAAATTAGTGATAGTTTGTAATGTGTGTAGAGTTTATAAAAATATTCGTCTTCTATTGCTATTGTTGCAGTAAAAATTTGGCAAAATGTTGGTAATTTGTAAAGTGTCTGTGACATCAAGTTGTACATTGAGTATAAAACGAAATATGTAAAGTTAAGCTACGATCCAAGAAGCGCGCGTTCACAAACAGACGAGGCTCGAATCTGAAAATAAGCTGTAGAAGTAATGCACGACACAGAAGATTTTATCCAAGACGGTCTCTATCACAGATTCATTGTGACATATTCCGCTTTCAGAAATCTCCTTGGAAACGTATTGTCATTTCTCCTGTCCGCCATCAACCATTAGCGATGGTTGGATGTTACAAGCAATATGTGTTACCATTGTTAATATAATTTTGTACATGCAGACCGCAAAGATGAATATCATAAAAAGGATGACGTACATCATGTATTTCACCATTTTCACGTTAAAGTTAAGGTCGTACTGGTTGTTCCTCAGTTCGGCGATCAATTTGCGGTCGAAGAGTTGCTGCTTTTCGATCGAATAACACGGTCTCATTTGCGCGTCGACTCCGCTACCACCGCCGCCGCCGACGCCGCCGCCGCCCTTGAGCTCTTCTAATGTTGCATCCACGGCGCATCTTAAACGACGCTGTCTGATGCTCTTGTTGTTCAGACTGTTCTGTAAGAGGAGACATTATCGTTCAATAACATTTTAACATTTGCGAATCCGTTTTATCGATCGATACCTTCCACAGTTCCGAAAGTTCTTGAGAGGTCATCGTTGGAGACTCGATCGGTAGAAAGAGGATGAGGAACTTGTCTTTCGAGCATCCGTTCAGCTGAAATGCTGGATGAATGGAAACGACGACCGTCGCACTTTCACCAGGGGACAGCACCCCGGCGCTTGGCTTTACACGGAATTTCTCTGGAGTCGTAGTTTTCATCTACAAAATCACACACAATCACAAGAAAATTACAATTACAACGAACGAAATTACAATTGTAACAATTGGCTCAGATGTGAACTCATGAATGAATTTATATATTATAAAATATAATCATCACAGATTATAAAGAAGCAAAGAAAAACAGGTCTTTGAGTTGTCTAAAATGCAACAAGTCATATATTCGTGTCGCTTGCACTCAAGGTTCAAATTCAAATCTCTTACTTTTCAATCAAAATCGACCACTCTTTTCCAATCAACTGTCTTTTACCTATAACTAATCAATAGCAAAATGCGTTTTCAAAAGCTTTTATAGATACGCCAATATCAATATAAACTGTTCTATTGTAATAGGTGAAGAAATTATCTCATTGAAGCTTTGTAAAGTCTTATGTATTTAATAAACTAAATGATTTCTTAACTTCATTTCATTGTGTTATGAATTTAACAACTTAGATACATTTTCATATAAAACTAAATTCAGTTCATTTTCGCAACTTTTGTTACAACAAAGAAATACAAAATAAACGTTTCTCTTATAAATACATTTTCTTGTTGTTTAATTATAATTGATATGTATTTATAGGATGCTTTTATCTGAGTGATGCAAATGTGTTTCTCTTGTAACAACAATGAACAGAAGAAAATAAAGTTGTTATAATATCGTCTTGTTTACCTTATAGGATAAATGCTGCTTAGAGACATTTTGAAGTTCCAAGACGCTCGAGTATTCATCCTTATCTTTGACGAAATTGACGACGCTGCTTGGAGAGATTCGCAGATCTCCATCTGAAATCACGGTCGATGTCCGTTGATAAATGCACGATACGACAAACAGATATTGTTTTTACCTGAATCTTTATCACCTGCTGTGTCGGACATTTCGGAGGTATCTGCGATGTGAGCTCGCCTCGCTGTTATTGATTTTAGCTGAGATGGTGGCCTTTCGGAAACGCGCGTCGCCCTTGATACATCAAGAACATTTCTGAGCAGAATCAGGGCACACAGTCTCAATTGATCGATAGAGAAACTTGCGTGCCTTGGACTAGCATCTGAAATTCTTTTCTTACTTGCACTTACAACAGACGCACAAATAAAGAATCATTCCCATCATCATCATGTAGTTTACATTGCATAATTTAAAAAAAAATAATAATATTAGAACAATATTATATTTATTTGAGACATTTGACAAATTCATGAAGAAACAAATCTTAGTTTGTTTCCAAAGTTCAAATTCCAAACAAGAATCTGTTCTGCTTTTATAAAGTACATCTAGATAATTGTTTTACGAACTTTAAACCCCATATATTAACAGTTCAAGCAATATAAATATAAAAAAGACAGCAAAAGACTTCTGTTGAATTGTACAACGTCATATGCCTAAATACATTATCTGTTTCCTAATTGGTTAAATACGGTGATTATCGGACGCATGCCTTCATTTTATTATTGAGGCTTTTCATCTAAACTTCCTCGAATTATCCAATTTACGTTTTGCGATGCAAGCGTACTTCGTGCATAACGTTTTTTATGGAGAATACTCGATAAACGAATAGAACGAGTTGCTACATTGGTCAATCGTATTTATAGTTGCACAACTGCGGGTGAAAGCAGGAAGCCCTTTTTCGCACACACGAATTCGTGTAGTTGGAAGAAAACGAAAGTATCGTTACAAATATCTGCGGATTACTAGATTCTTCATGGAATCTACAAAAGTAACAGCATTTTCTGAAGATCCAATAAACTAAAATCGAAGATAAACGATTGATCGGTTTAGATAAATAATTGAGCAATTGTATTGTCATTAGTTATTTTTTTTAATGAATTTAATATATTTAAATTTAACAGTTTATACAGTATAATCAGTAGTTGTGGATGATGGTAGTGGTAGGCCTTGTTTTTTTTTTCTTGAAGGTGTAATAACTAACACATTCGATTTGGTTTATTGTTATACTTCGCGCGTCTGCGAAGATTTTTGTACTTAAAAAGTCTTTGATTTGGCTGTTGGAAAAAAGAAAAAGTACGCGGAAGGAAAGCGAAAGAAAAACAAACGACAAAAATAATAACGAAACGTATCGATTATTAATTGGTAATGTTCATTTCACGTGTGACGATTGTACAAGCATATTAATAATAATAATTTTACACAGTTCTCCTCCGTACTCTATTCTCCCGACTATCTACATACACATAAATCTACAAGTGATGCGAAGAAATAAGAAACATTAGATACATACGCATTATACATAACAACAATAAAGAACTAAAAAAAAAAGTAACCGTAATGAAAACAATAATATCTTATTAAAATTCTATATAATATATAAAAATATATTGTTTTCTTTTTATATTATTACTATTATTATTGCAATAATTTAGTGTGTGTTTGGTTTTAGGTATGTATAAATTTGGCAAAGTTTGTCAATAATTTGTAAAATATCTGTTGATTTTTCTCTCTCTCACTCTCTCTCATTTTTAACTCAAACTTTGTGATATCAAATTATACATATTTAAAGATGAAACACGAAAACAAAAACATAATATAAGGGCGGTGTATAAAACCAAATGCACGTCAATATGCGTTCAAGCTGAGGTCCAAGAAGCGCACGTTCACCTAGAGAAAGTGTCTTTGAGAAGGCAAAAGATGTAGAACAGTGCCCAGAGGATGTGCTCTAGGATGCCGTCCGTCGAAGGCTGGCGTGCTTCTTCCGGGCCCGCCTCCAACAGGTATTGTTATAGCTGCGATTGGTCCGGAATCGCGCCCAACTGATCTCCGTTGCCGTCGTTCATGTGTTTCACGACGTAAACGAGCATCGAGCCCACAACAACCAGCATACAGATGATAATGTACAGCAACATCTGCATCTGGTTCACGTCCTTCTTCATTTGCTTTTGGCCGTTCAGCAACGCCGACATATCCGATTGTAGCTTCTGTTCCATCGGCTGTTGCTTACCGCTGCCTTGAGACAACGAAGATGCAGTTTGCCCGTTGGTGACGCTCTTGGAAGCATCCGCCGGTCCATCCAAAGTGCTTCGAAGCACATGCTGCTTGGCTCCCTTCGTATTGCTGCTGTTCTGTAATTCAATAGTTCATATTCAAACTGATCACTCATTGAATATTATAATCGCATTACCTTCCACAAATCTACAATATCTTGATATGGCATGTTAGGCTTGTCTACAGGCACGTACATCACAAGAAACTTGTCTTTCGCGAAGCCGTTTAACTGGAATGCGGGATGAATGGCAACGACCACAGACTCACGTTCACCGGGCGAAAGCACACCAACACTAGGCTTTACTCGGAATTTTTCGGGAGCCGTCGTCTTCATCTGCAATTACAAAATCATACAAAAACTTCTTAATATCAATTGTATTAAATACTTTAATTGTTTAAATAAATTTAATAACTAACGGATACTATAAAATCGCAAGTATTACTAATACCATACTGATCAGTAAAGAAATCTTATGGTTGCTGATATGACATTATAATAGTATTTAATGTTTACTGCCCAAAATTAACTGATATACAGACATTTCATATTTATAAAAATATGTAACGTTTCATTCCAAACAATGCTAATTATTGAAACAATCAATATTCATTAAAAATATTTCAAAATAAATATTGATGCAAATTCAGATGCTTGTTAAATTTACTTAAGTCTACTTAGTTATATTTACACTTCATAGACTGACTTTGTACTTATCTACAAGTCCTTTATACTTACTTTATATGATAAATTCTGATTAGAAACATTCTGAAGTTCCAATGTGCTCGAATATTCACCGCCATCGAGAACGAAATTGATGATGCTCGTAGGAGAAATACGCAGATCGGCATCTGTAAACAACGGTCATTCGTTCAACGGTAACCAAACGAAATGTTAAATGACTTGAAGAAATTTACCAGCGTCTTTGTCTCCCGAAGCAGTTGATGCTCGAGAACCATCTGCAAAATGAACCTGCCAAATTTAAAAAAATAATATATATATAAAAATTTAATAAATTGATCGATTTAAAATGCATCAAATCAAAACCGTTGAGTCATAAATAATTTTTCGATATGTAAATTTAGTTGAAATCGTTATCAAGTGAAACGATAACAAAATAATTACAATAATTATTTCATTCAACAAAATTGGCAGTATATTTCGTTATTTGGATAATTGATTCGTCGCTGTCACTGAAATATCATAAATAATTGATCTACATACTTAATAGTAAAAACATCAGCGTTTCTCGACCCAAAATTGGGATGCTGGACAAGTACAAACAAATGTGATTGGTCGCGAGGCTAAATGGTTGAGATACGCTGATATATATGCATTTTATTTAATGACATAATTACTTTGAAATTCAGAATATGAATAAATAATAACAAATAAAATTCTATTTTTGTATAAACATTGACCTCTGACACATCAAAACTATTTCAAATATCTAATAATACTACATAGTTTTATGTCTTTATATGGTTTATATCTTTTTGTCGTTGCGAGTAGCACGAACGGCCTTGAGATTACAATGCGTAAGTATTAATAACTAGCACATTAAAATAAACATTATTTAAAGTTGTGCTTTTTTCTCTCTCTCTTCTTATCAACATCTCGCTGATAAAAATGTAACACAAAAAATAATGTTATCGATACGTTATCGTTTGAATAGAATCACGTAACGAGAATAACACGAATTTCTTTGTACTTGCTCTAAATATTATATAAATGACGATTGGACATAAACGCAGAATTATATCGAAATTGCCGACCTTTTTGTTGGTGGTTGAATGCTGGAGAGGTGGGGTTTCATTGATGACCTCTGACTCGAAACTGTAGATGTAATCATCTTGGCCGCCCCAACATTTCAGAGCTTGATCCAACGGCACATACGAATCGATGTCCGCCTTCTTCAGCATCTTAATTTTCTGGACAGCTTTCTCCGGTAACAACGACTTTATCACTTTGAATGCAGCTTCAAGACAGATCTAACTTAATCAACAAATTCCCACAAGTGAAACCCACAAAACTTACCATTGAGGATCCAAGCCATTTCAAAAATAATAATATAATTAAGAAAGTAAGGGTAATACAGCTTAAACAATCCAATTAAATACTGTGTGAATTCCATATCCATATTTGAAAGACCACAACCCTCCATGTCAAAGAACAAAGTGATTGGTTGACCTTTTTCCTGCCTGTAAAGGAATAGAGGTATTGCAAAATCCATTGATGCATAAGAGACATCTTCCAATTATTACCTTTCCAGGCGCTCAATCCAATATACAACTAATCTCTTGAGATCATCACTGTTTTTAGATCCCTTGGTGTGCTTCTTGCACTTGAAAATAAATATTGCAGCACCATCTTTGTCTCTACCCCTAGAGAAAAATCCACCATCCACCAAGTAATCCATTTTGACTGTTGACTCAGTGATATCTGTAACAAGAAATAAATTGCAACAAATTGCATTACTGTTGCCAAAACAATCACCATTTGTTCCAAATGTTTTCCTCCACTCCATGACATCCCACATCATGTTAAGAGCCAATTGTTGATCTCCATCATGGTGCATCAAGAACCTTTTGAGCCAATTGTCATCATTCTTGGCCCGAGCCAGATCAGCAGGATGGACATCTGCAAATCAAAACATGCATACACAAATCTCCTTATTAATATCAGGGTTACAATCAATGTCATAACATCATACTTGAGTCAATTTTCCCTTGATTACTGAGGAATGAACTCCTTAATTCGTCTATGGCAGCTTGTGTTATAGACATTCTGTAACAATACAATTTTAAATATTTAATTTCATCAGTTATTTTACTAATTTTGAATTCCTATAGGAATTCTCACCTTGTTATGTGATGCACAGTCGTTCCAATCAAAGTTCAAGCAACTAATGATACCAGCCAGTAGTGATGCTCGCATCAAAATATCTATTTAATTATTAATTGAATGGTGGGGTAAATGTCAATGTTTTTATGAACGGTCCCATATGTCAATATGGTTTAATATGGTTATCGCAATTTACAAATATTCCTCCTGAAGTTCGATGCAAATGTCAAGATATTCCATGTTGGAAGTAAATTGGGTTGCAGAAATAATTGAAATTTTTAAAAAAATATCGCAAAAAGTTTGTTTATTATAGTTATATTCCTTATGCCTCATCGTAAACTGTTTATAAATATCTAATTTTATATAATAGTTGAATTTTACTGTAACTGAAGTTTATTGCATTTTATTTACAGTTTTTTTTTGTTCTTAGTATAAAGACAATTTCAATTTTAGTGGTAAATTGTTTAAACATAATTCTTTTTAAATTACTTGATATTTTAATAACTTTAAGTGAATTTTCAAACAGATTATTAACTGTGTTGAAAGCTGAACATTAATAAAGATTTTCAAACATTTACTAAAGTTGAAGAAGAAGAATAAACATTTGCTAAAACTGTTTCACATGCAAGTATATATTTGTACAATTAATTAAAAGTAATGTTCCAATACTTTCAACAAAATGTAAAGTTCAAATCAATTTTTTAATTTCTGCTTGCTCGTTAAGTTGCCCATTATAAACAAGAAAGACAAGAACAATTGTATGTTGGCAGCAATATTGTTCTTCAAAAGTTACCAATTGTAATCAATAATCAAGTTAAACTGCGATGACTGCAGCAGTCATTTGACAAATCGGTCAAAACAAATAATGTATTTTAACGAAGGAGTGGTGTTTTGTATTTAACTGCCATTCGTTGTATATTAACTTGTAAGATTTAGGTGCCTTTTGAAATATGTGATTTATTTCTATAATCTATTGAAATATACTGACAAAAACAATATTAAAAGCATGTTCCGATGGGGTAAGAAGGAGAACAAAGCCAAGCTAGAACATAAGCTTTACTTGGTAAACATAGATAGAAGACAATTTTGATTGATGCAGTGTAAATTGAGCAAACTGTATTGTTTTTAGGCAAGAGAAAATCCGGAGCCTGTCTTTGATATTTCAGACTGCAGTGTGAACAATGTCCCATCCGGCATTTACTCACTGTGCAGGGTATTCCTGAAGGAGCAGCTCAACATGTCCTTCAATAATTTGACCTCACTGAGCGGTGGTGGAAATCTGAGGGATTTGCACATCCTGCAAGTACTTTCATTAAACAACAATGCCTTTACTCATCTGCCTGAAGAAATTCAATTATTAACTAATCTTAAGGTAAACTCCGGCTATAGTTAGATATTTTACAATCTTTGATGGCTCTATGATCTGCAGGAACTTTATATTCAAAACAATCAAATTAAGAAATTGCCTTCAACAATTTGCCAGCTACTCAATTTAATAGTACTGAATGTGTCCAATAATTTGCTAACTGAATTACCTCGTGAAACTGGCAATTTGAACAAACTAAGACTGCTTGATTTGCAAGGAAACAAGAAACTCAAGGAACTGCCCAGGTCATTTGGTAAATTGCAGCACCTCAGACAGTTGTATTTTGATGCAGATGGTTTCCAATATCCACCAAAGGATATTGCTGAACAAGGTGTTGATGTTGTTGTTAAATATGTTTGTGATGGTAATATAAATGATACTGTAAGAATAATGAACTTGTTAAGCACATAGATTTCAGATAATAATTATGAATATTCACCTACTGATGATACTGATGCTTGCATAACTGAAGAATATGTTCCATACTCCAACATTGAGGTAAATCACAGATTTGACGTTATTCACAGTAATTGCTTCATTATTATCATGAACAAATCAGTTATTGTTTATAGATATAAATATATATACCATTCATCATGCTACGTTTTTAATTTTAGCTTTTTCTGTTTGTTTTTAGGCAAAAATATGGGAGATTGAAAAGATAAAGGCATGTCTAATTTTTTGTTATTATTTCTGTTCATTTCTGATCAGAAACACTTATGTTATCATTATTTATTTCAGTAGTGAAGCATGCTGGTAAAAATGTATAATTCTACTATTATCTTCTAAATAATAATACATTATCTAGTTAATGATTTGTTATTATATTTTAGGAGCAAAAGAAGGAAGAGTTTCTCGCCATTGAGAAACATAACGAGATTATGATGCAACAGGAATTCGAATTGGCGAACTCGATGAAAATCAACAAAGTGAAGGTAATCATCATCATTCTTCAATTGAATAAACTCACCCTAAATATTGCTATTTCCTCGAATTTAGTTGTTGGACGATATCCGATTGCAACAGAATCAACTCGATGAGTCGTTGGATAAAATCCAGCAGGTCAAGGATATTGAGCGATTTAAGTTAATAGAGCAACTTCAAGAAGGTATAATCTATAAATTAATTGTAATATTAGATTTATCAACTAACCGATTCGTTTTTCAGTCGAAATGAATTCAGATATTGCTATTAACAATTTATTGCAAATGACCAAAGAACCTTTGGGTCTACTTCTGGAGCAGGAGCGGATAGAGCAAGAGAAGTTGATCGAAGCCGCGAACAAATATAACGATAACTTATGCAAGACCGAAATCCTCGACGCCATGGAAGAGATTCTGAAACAGGAGACTGTTAAGTTTATGCAGTTCGATGAATACCGTTGCGAGACTTCGAGAAGCATCTTGGAACAGTTACAAAATCGCATTTCTTAGCGAAGACATTAATTTAAACGCGTTTATTTTGTTGTTGTAGGGAAATGAAATCTGATTCAAGGCTAGGCGACTTGCTGCATTCGCAAGACACTAAAAGCCAAGAGTTGTCGCAGAAATTGCTAGAAGACAGCGTATTGCAGAGGGTCGCAGTAGCCGCGCTCCTCGAGAGAAGCGATGCTCGGAGTTGGAGTTTGGTGCAGCAGGTGAAATTGATCGAATCACAGTTGGCGTCTTTAACAGTTATCGAGATGAAGAGAAGGAAATTGGAGTTAAATCATCAGTTGGTTAGCTCATTTAACTTAACATAAATATTAGGATTAATGTAAAAAAAACGTGATTTTAGAACGATTTGGCGGAGAAGCGAATAAATTTATCGATTCTTTTAATGGATTTGTTGGAGCAGCAAGGCGTTAGGAGATCTCAGTTGCTCGAAACACTGCAATCTTTGGAAGATAAAAAAGAGCAAGCTGAAGACTTTTGGTTAATACAATACCAGCAATTACTTGATAGGTTGGACAGTTAATTTATCTGTAATTGAAAGATGTTTATATGATTCGTATTTTGCAGAATGCCAGATAGCATAGCCGAATTTCAGAGGAAATTGAATCCATCCTTGATTGAAGCTCTCAATATTGCTGGATGCATTCATTACCTGCCTTTGTTGGCTAAATGGTCAACAAGTGAAGGTCTTCTATTTAAATGCTTTATTATTATTTTAATTTCGTTTATAAAAAAAATGTGTTGCAGACAAATTGGTGCATGTAACTGAGGAGGAATTGAAGAACATCGGCATTTCTAGTGCTGCAGACCGTCAGAACATTCTGCGAGCTTTCGAAAATTTCAGGACTGTGCAACTCGTATATCCAGAACTACTTATACCGACAGCCCCTACTCTTCAAACCTCCGAAGCTAGCGCTCCTCCAGTAGAGACAACACAATGCTTTTCTACAACCGAATGCGTTGTTTGTTTGGACAATAAGGTAAGAAAAACGAGCATAAACAATTTAGAAAAATCTATTAATTTTTTGTTCAGTGCGAGATCATCTACGTTCCATGTGGACACTTCTGCTGCTGCACGGACTGCTCGCTGCCTCTGAACGAATGCCCGATGTGCAGGGCCGCCATCGAAAAGAAAATCCGCGTCGATTGACTTTGCAGAACGGATCTCTTCGAAGCTTTAAATTTATCGTTACTGTGCCACCTGTTATTTACCCCCCTCTTTACACATTTTGCGTGCGTGCGTGCGTGGCCTTACTCAAAAAATGATACAAGTATTTTTGCAGTGTGATATTATATTCAATATTTTGTTGCGAACTACAATAATATTTAATTATATAAAATAATAAAAGACGACAATTCATAAATTAACAGCTTATCTGAATCTTAAAATATATCTATATAACAGATGGTTGCTTCAATCACAGTCCTCCTCCATTTCCTCTTCATCATCTTTCTTGGGTTTGTTGTCCTTTTTAATCTTTGTCTCTTTCAGTCCTGTGCAAATTAAACAACAACAAAAATTAGAAATTGTTGATAAAAAACATTCCTAACATATCTATAAGCAAATTAGTTACAACATATTCTTGATACAGTATTAGTAATTGTAATAGGACAATAACAAAACTAAATGGCAAGTGTTAACATGATCCTACTATGGAAAATTACATTACCATGAAAATAGATTAAGTTAAATAGGATGTTAGCTGAATCTATTTAATAGTAATTTTACTTATTTGTTGTTTTAAAGAGAAGCACTGATGAAGTGGGCATGTTAGAACAGATAAGAAATAAAATATAATACATACTTTTCAATGAATTGCTCAATGGTTCAATAAAGTTATCAAACTCTGCCTCCTTCAGAGCGTCCAGCACGTCCTGGGCAGTTAAGGTCTTCCTGTTTGCTTCTTGTGCAATTTGCGAACTGTGTGTGGTTATGTACAGGATAAACATTGAGGCAGCCTTGGATAGGGCAGATTTCACATCTTTGCCAATATTAACGTTATCTGGTACGCTTCCCTTGATAATTTTCAGGACGGAAGCCTGTGGCAAATTTAAGTCCTCCAGTTTTTCTGCCATCTCAAATTGTAGTTTGCACTCTGTTGCGATCAACAGCAATATCTATTTGTATTGAATAGTTTCCCACCAAAAAACGCAGACAATGTTTGAATGAAATACATACTGGCACGAAGCTAGTAACGTGCTTTGTTTACTATGTATTTTTATGATAGCAAGCAACCAGTTTATCATGAGCGATCATTGAAAATACCAGCATCATCAAATATATTTCAATGATTACAATAGAAATAATTCTAATAAGTAACTAGTGTAAGACATTTTGTAACATTTAAATGAATTATTTTAAATTTTACATAATGGATAATTATTTAATTCTAATAAGTAATGGTATACAATTTAGTAATTGAAAATACATAATTAAATAATTAGATTGATCTTTGTTGAGTGCAGAGCTTTGTTGACTATTTTTGTGTTACAACCTCAAGACTTGGTGGTTCAAATAATGGTTTGCATATTGTTTTTGTACAGTAATAAGTCTTATTAAATTAGTTGATAAATGTTTTGTATCTAGTATATAATGCATATGAAGGTAATAAGTTTTGGCATGGATTTTGAAGGGTGTGCATTATTATGAATCAATATATAGGACAAAGGCTTTTAGGAGTGGTCATTCCTTCAAGGTCTATGATATTTAACGAGATATAATTGTTAATATCGAAAAGCACGTACATTTTCTGAAAAACTCAAGTGAATGAATGTAAAAACTGATATTTTGTGTTGCAGACAATCTGTTCTAGCGTTGCAGATTCAGAACTGTTCTGAACGCCTTCGAATTGTTCAGAAATTGTTATTGCATAGTTAATCCAAAATTGAAGCTTTAAATGTATTCTTTCTAAAAAATGATACTAATAGTTCTGGTTTATTTTGATTTATGTCTGACTTTTGCAAACCATAAAACGACAATTAATTCATCTTCTTTCATGACTTTCTGCTCTTTTCTAATTTGTGCATCTTCAATCAACAGTTAATAAACTTAGATAATTGTTTTTCAAGAATTTATTGCTCATTGATAATTAATAAACGAACGAAATTTTGAATGAATGCACAAATGAATGGAATCGAAAGCTGAATGGACCTTTTGTTTGACGTATGCAACCAAACATACAATCATAACATATATCCAATCGCTGCTTGTCCAATCAATGAATACACTGATCTGACCAAGATCTGGATCGAATCAAAGCTGATCTTAGAAGTGATTGTAATTGTTAAAACGTAGTGAATCTGTGAATTCGGTTTAAAAAAAAAAAGTAATTACTAGTGCAAAACTTTCGGCCCCGCCTACTTGCAGTGGTTTCGCGTATATCAATAAAGTAGTGAAGGTAAACACCTGTGAAGTGTCAAAAGTGTAATTGTTGGTGTAATCATGTCGGCGAATAAAAAGATTGAAGAAGGTCTGGAACACATTAAATCAGCAGAGAAATGGTAATCAGGGATTGATTTATAATTTTAATGTTGGGTGATTTATTTAACGAATTTACGTTGCAGCCTGAAAACTTCGTTGCTCAAGTGGCGGCCCGATTTCGATGAAGCTGCAGATGAATACAACAAAGCTGGTATGCACACTATTGTCTGATCAACAATAAGTTAGTTGTTTGTGTACTGAAAGTGCTTTAATGTTCTAGCCACATGCTTCAGGATTGCCAAATCTTTTGAGCAATGTCGGGACTGTCTTTTGAAAGCATCAAATTGTCACAAGCAGAATAAGAAGTGAGTTCATTGTTTTAACATAAACTATTATTTTTAAGTACTAATTTTCTTATGGGTTGCTTCACTCAATATGTTCTTATATGACTAGGTTGAAATTCAATAGAATTATTTTCAATTAATTCAGTTATAAATTGAAATTTCATTGATCAATAAATATGTTTCTATTTTTTGTTTTTGCATATTGACCTATTAGTACAGATATGTCCTAGTGAGTCATGGATTTTAAAGTGTATGCTTTATTAAAAATCAATATGAAGAACAAAGACTTTTAGAAGAGGCATTTCTTTCAAAGTCTATAATATTTTGGGAAGACAATACAATTTTCTCAATATTTTATTATAGATTCTTTTTTTTACTTTGTCCATATAAAATTGTAATTATTAATTGTGTTTTCAATCATTTTCAGTGGATTTTACGCGGCGAAAGCCCTTGACCAAGCAATACTGGTTTGCAAGGAATTGAGCGACTTGGGAAATGTAGCCTCGATGGCCAAGCAGGCAGCTAACTTATATCAGACGGGGGGAAACGCTGAATCCGCATCGTCGTCATTGGAAAAAGCGGCGAAGATCCTGGAGCAGAAACATCTCAAGGATGCACTGAGTTTGTTCCAGCAGGCGGCAGAAATATCCATCATCCAAGATAGTACCCGACAAGCCGCCGAATATATGAGCAAGGTCGCCAGGATCCACGTCAAATTGCAGGAGTACGACCTCGCCGCGGACGCCATCCGACGCGAGATGGGTCTGCACCAGCAAAGCGAGGCGTACCAAGCAATAGGTAGACTGGCCGTTGCCTTAGTTTTAGTGCAGTTGGCGCGAGGAGACGTGGTTGCCGCCGAGAAAGCTTTCAAGGAATGGGGGAACTGCTGCGAAGCACCCGAAGTGCAGTGCCTCGAGAGCCTGTTGACTGCTTACGATGAGGAAGACCGTGATCAAGCAAAGCGGGCGCTCGGCAATCCTTTCATCAAATTCATGGACATCGAGTACGCAATTCTCGCACGCGACATGCCCTTACCAGAGGAAACGCGGGCACCGGTGAAAGCTCCCGAAACCGTAAACATCGATAAGGAGGATACATCTGGTCATGTAAGTCCCTACTACTTTCATACTTACCATATAGATAAATTTGATTTGGATTTTGTAGGAGGAACAAGGTGATCAAGCTGCTGCCGGAGAAGCGCCTATTCATGAAGACGACGAAGAGGAAGGTATCTGTTAAGTTTCGTATGATGATGTACAGCTTCTTTGAATCGGGCGTAGGTACATTTTTTAATTTTGTGATCGATTTAAGTAAATAATTTTAGCTCGCAAACGGGCACCCCACGTGAATGTATTATATGTAAATTTATACATTATTCATGAATTTTAATGTTTCGCTCAGATATTGTTGGAAGATTAACGATTGGACAAGTTTAATTGCACTTAGGCATATTGTTATATAGCAAACGTCGATGTATCGTTGAAATCTAGTCTGTCTGATGGTGTTTGCTTCAGATGTTCGATTAATTGTGTTGCATTATTTCAAAGTAATATACGTTATTAACATGAGCATTTCTTTATTTAACAACCAAACCCAAATCAATTCGCATCATTGAGCGCTGAGAATTTATTGGATGCTAAAACTTGTTCTCCATCTGAAGAGTCATCATCATATTCATCCCGTTCTTCATCGCTATCTTTAAAAGCATCTTCATCACTGCAACTTTCCGCGACTTTTTCTAAAGGACGATCTTGTTTTTTATCATCATCATCATCTACAATTGCCTTGATCCAATTCACCATTTCCACATCTTCATGTTTTTCCCAAACATCTTGAAACACAAATTTGCATTAGTTAAACATGTCAATGAATTAATATGATAATTACCTTTTTCCGATTCGTAATTCGGTGGTGTTAAGCAAAGACAAATCTTTCCATCAAGGGTCATTCTAAGCAAGCTGTTTGCTGCTCTGTACGAATCGAGTCTTCCGGACCTGGCCGTTACGTATCCACATCTCTTTGCCCAACCATCGCATACATCCATCGCTGACCAAGTATCATCGTTTTCAGGGTGCGCGATTCTCAGCAATTTCGGCATGTCCATTCTCTCCGCTAAATATTTGATTGTGGTGAATGGTTCTCTGAGTTGAGCGATCGGGAAGCTGCCCATAATGATCTGCAGTACTTTCGGAACCTTGGAAGGAAACACCAGGCCCGGACAGTCGCACAAGCGGACATTCGGTGTTAAAAATATCGTTTGGAAATGCTTGGTGTGACCGGGCGTCTTCGATACGGATACAACTTTCTTGCCCATGATGGCGTTCATCACAGACGATTTTCCAACATTCGGTTGACCCACGCAACCGATTGTTAAAATGCCATTATTGAATCTCTCGTGCTGATAGAACTGCGTGTCCACGGATTTCGTTTCGATAGTTTCCTCAACGATCAATTCAGAAACATCGTCAGTCGTGTACGTCGATTCTTCCTTAATCTTCTCCTCCCAAGATCTCAAATCCACTTGGTCTTCAACGATTTCCTTACATGCCTCCAGTAACAATTTGGTGCCTTCAGTTGCCATGCGGACCTTGCCCTTCTTATGACGAATTTGCAGTCCTATAATAACCGACTACAATGTATTTTCGCAGAACATATGGTCAATTAGAAGAACGTACCAGCTTTATCGGACAACTTTCCAACTAGATTATACTGCGGCAATGTGGTGAACAAGACGACTTTCAATTGAGGATAATTTTTTATAAAGTAATTCCTCCAAGCGACGACCAATGGAGTTGGCGCCAGGTCTATCTTATTCATAACTAAAATCATCTGCTTATTCAAAGTTTTGGTGACATAGTTATAAAGTGAAGGTGGAAACATCAGAGCAGGAAAACGAATATCAACAATGATCAGAATAACATCAGACATTTCCAGGACCCTCCACAGTTGCCTCCAGGTTTCCAAATTGAGTTCAAAGAAACTCATCTCCTTCCATCCATACTTGTTATCCAGTTCAGTAACATATTCAGTGAAGTATCTGTTCTCTCTCGCATCCAATGCTTCTCTTGACATATCAAAATTCCAGGAAGGTCTCTTTGGAAAATCAAAATCTTCAGGAAAATAATCATGCACATTAATCTCCAAGTCATTGTGCATTTCCAGACTTTTCATAGCCAGTTCCTTGCGCTCCTTAATCTCAGCATCTGTTTCCCTGTAGAACTTCAGATTGTACCTGTTCACATTCCTGCCAGACCTGCCCGGCTGTGCATTTACTTTCTGAACTTTACCATCATCACTGTCATCCCCATCAGAGTTGTGAGGTTTTACAAGATAATTTTGACTACTCCCTAAAACATTAAAAAGATCTAGAAAAATCTTTAAAGAATTACATCATTAAAGTTTACCTTGTTTCTTATTCCTTTTTGTTTTCAACTGTTCCTTCTTTGCTTTACCACTAAATGGTACCTTTTTTCTTCCTTGAGGCATTTTCAAATATTTTCTATGTACAAGAGGTTAATTCTTTGACGATCCTATAGTCAACAATTTAATGATAGGCAACCCAATAACAATATTTGTTTATTTTATTTGCTCATCATACCAGTGTTTCTTAAACTTTTTATAAGATTTATACAAAAATATATTTGTTATGTCTGATGAATCAACTAAAGTATTATCATACAATAGAAATTAATTTTATTATCTCTGTGATTAATTGAAAATTTACACAATTTCTGTTCGGGCAGCGGATGCGACTATTTCCTTGCTCTGGGCTTTAATGAATTCGTTCGTTGGGATCAGATTATCTTCAAACGATAATCCCTCGAAGAAATCAGCTAAAAACAAAGAGAAACGTTAAACTCGACATAGAAGGATCAGTTTTGAAACCGTTCCGCGTACCTTCTACTGCCTGTTGCGAGAACTCCAGCAATCTGCACGTTCTGATGATCAATTTATTGTACGCCTCTTGCGCATCCTGCGGATTGAACTTCTCGCTCTCCGGTGCGGCCCTCATGAGTATCGAGACTTTGTTTTCGATGATTTTGATTAATTTATGTCCTGAAATTGATAATTGGTAAACGTAAATTGACAATTCTACAGTTGAGAGCGGTCAAGATTACCATCTTCTTCGATTTGTGGCACTAGAACGTTCGGCGTAGATAACGATTTGTGCAGCGCATCGTTGATGTCGACGGTTTTCATTTTCTTTACATCACTACCTATTTTGTCTGTCATCTCTTTCATTTGCTGCAGCACCTTTCTGATATTCAGAAGGAGACCACCTCGCTTCTGGATGTTCTCATCAATTTCGGTTTTCTTCAATCTGACGGTTGAAATTTCCGTAGCGAGAACCTTCTTTCGGTCCTTATATCTGCAAGAGCAAATATCATTAACTTAGATTTCATTGATAGGTGTAAAAATAATAATTTACTCCATCGTAGAATCGTTCATGGTGTTCGTTAAATCGGTCGCAATTAATTCTGCGTGATTCTTGCGTTTCAATAATGTATTCTTGTCATCCTCATTCTTTAACACCAGCTGCTTCAAACGATCCCTTTGTCTAGCCTGTTCCTCCATACTGTACAACATGATTATTATAATAAACGTCCACTTTTTAAATTTACACAATTCACCAAGGAAATATGCAATCGAAATTTGACACCATCGTCATATCTTGGAGCGAGCTGAGCACGACTTCAATCTCTCCTATACTCTTCTGCAGATCTGTGAAACTCGTAGATGGAGGAAGCGTAGTCACAGTTAAATCGCTCTGAAAATAATATAGAGCATTTTCACTTACCAGACGAAACTAAAGTTAAGAAAACTCACGTCCCTTCTAACCAATCCCCTCAGACTTTTAGTGGTGTCTTCCACCTGTTCCCTGACATCGTGCAATTTCTTATTCCTGTGGTGCAAGTCTTTCTTAACGGTTTCCTGCAGAGTTTGGAATTCAGTGCGTCTGTCGTCCAAGTATTCTGTAGCCAATTGGCCGAGAATCGTGGTCTGGTAAATGCACTTCCCTTGAGCTCTGCCATCTTCCTGCAAACTATTCAGCACTGCGTCGTAGTATATAGCATCCTAAAAACTCGACTGCTCTTCAATTGATCTTTATAAGTAATTACAACGAAATGACCTGCTTCATGATATCCACCAATATTCTGTACGTGTTCCTCACTGTAATCGCAGCTTCCTTTTTCAGGATCATATCTTGAACTTTTCCCGTGACGATTCCCACTTGAACCTCGATGGGAATCTTGTCGCTCACCTCGTACTTGATCCTGTTTTCCAAATCACCTTCCTCCAACTAAATAACAAGTCCATATAGACACAGACACAGCAAAATTGACGCGCTGTTTTTGTTTTACCCGGAATTTGATCAACTCTTCCATCTTCAGTTTCAGTTTGTACTTCAACACGTCCAGATACTTCCGTTTCGAGAAGTTGTCTTGATAAATGTGATTTATAATGTTCTTAACAAAAGAAAAAAATAAGAAAATATTATATCACTACAATAACATATCAATAATAATACATTGATGTGGAGCTCTTGATAAGCCAATTGCAGTTTTCTGTCTTCTGCTAAAATATTACGAATTCGCTGCCGATCGCCAGTCATCGCATTCTCCAAATCCGATCTGTTCTGGTTGATGTCCTTTTGCAGCTGCAGCAACTCTTTGACGTGCTTCTTCTTTGCCAGCAATTTATCATAGTCAATTATTTTCCTATCTCTTTCTACAAGACGTATAAGAAAAGGAAAAAGAGCAAATCAATTTGTATGTCTATCTAAGATATCGTTTCGTTTATACAGCGTAATATATTTCAATTACTAACGAACATTCAATTACAAAATTATTACGTTTTTTTTTCTATATCGTAATCAATAAGCATATATACATATTTCTTAAAATTGTTGATAATCTATTCGAAACTAGATAATTTCAACATCTAATGAATGCATCGTTAGATTAATGAATCGCTGATGCTCAATATAATCGAAAAAAAAAAGTTTTATTGCAGTCAAATTTTTACTAGTAAAATTTTGCAAGCAAATATAAATTAATATTAACAAGCATGCTTTGATCTAAACCAGTGATTCCCAAAGTGGTCTATATCGACCACCAGGGGTCTATGAAAACCTGCAAGGGGTCTACGTCAGCAAAAAAAAAATTTGGGGTCCATGAAATGAAAATGGGGATCTCAACATACACTGACAGTACCTATTTACTTACATTATACTATCTTATAATATAAATACATATACATTATTTATAAAAGTACCTATGAAGTAAAAAAAAAATTATATATGTTTATAAAATTGTGTAAATTGTAGGATGCAGGCATTCGCTTTGTGATCGCAATACATTTTGAACTTGTAAAAACCTGCACATATTGATATACCAGTATCAACTTGTAATATCTTTCTTAGGTAATTTTAGCTACGAATTGTATTAATTATGTCTAGGGTATATATAATAGATTCATAAGAAAGAATTTACTGATTGTAATGATATACTAATATAAATAATAGTTTCTAAATACAACAAAAAATGTGTGCCCCGAAGCTGATGTTGAAAGGATGTTTCGAAATTTATAATTATAGCATCGATGCTCGAGTTTCTCCAACGACGAGACGCGCATACGGATGAATAGGTTTTCAACTGACTTGAAAACGAATTGAATCTATAGATTTTACTGTTGTTGATCGTTCATAGTTTATAATTTAATTTCTGTTTTTTTTTTGTAAGGATATGAGACTTACGGAATAATTTGGTCAACCCTTTGTACTGCGAGAGGTGATCCTTTGCTGTCCACCTCTCATCCTTCATGCCATGAAGCTTGACCTTCTTAGCAGCAAGCATGTTCATCCCCATTTTGCAGATTTATATTATTTCTTCTGCTATCAACGACGAATTTAATGTATTACCATCGAAAAGCAGACCTTAACGAATATCTTCATTCGCAAGAGGTGTTGAAATGATAAGGCTTGTCAACATTGACAACAACAACAACAAAAAAAAAGAGAGTGAAAATAAACACGCGTATCCCAGGTTTACGTAAGACGCAAATCAGCGAGCATTTGATTTTCAAATTTCCCGCACAATTAGATTGCGTAAAGTTATTCAACGGCAAAGAGTTGTACATGTAATATCTGTAATTGGTGTTTGGAGGCGAGTTGCTTCACCTGCCCTAGAAAAAAGCGAGGTTTAGTAACGTGAAAGTCGGATTTTTTCGACGATCCATTTCAAAAGTTAGCCACCAATACGTTACGCGCGTGCGCAGTTCGGCTTACGTCATGCGCAACTAGCGTGCGTCCCTTCCTTCAACCTGTCACTTCTGTCATTCTTCCATTGAACTGTTCTTAAAGTGTTTCGTTTCTATTATCTCCGGTGCTAAATCCGCTGCAATGTCGTACTAGCGACCCAAAACGCCCGCACACCTGCGTGTGCCCCACAACCAAGGAAACATGGAGTAAGTTATCAAACTTTTACTTGTTTCCTAGACTTTTGCCTCCACAAAAACACTAAAACCAATTATGGCATCTTTCAAGATGATTCATTGTCGTGACCTATCTTCATGTGGCAAACATTTGGCGGCAGGAATTTTCCACAACATGAACCAACAAACGTTTCCAAAAGAAAATGTATTAGTTGCAGAAACGAAAATTTTTCAATACCAATATGTTACTCCACTTTAGCCCTACTCTTTTTCTTTTACATGCTACAGCTTTTCCAGGAACTGAAACGTGACGTTCGCAAATACCGTAATGCTCAACGTGCACAAAATTATTATTATCGAACAGATTTTTATTTTATTTTAACGCCGCCTCAATTCCATTTCCACAATTGGAAAGTCGTTTCGCGATCCTCGGTATCACGTCTGCACAACAAGATGCATAAATATTTTGACTTGCATTTGTTTTCGTATACGGATGGCGGCATTTGGATTAGATAAAGACGAATTCACGTTGTGTTGTGTGCTCGAAAATATCTCGCATACATATTTAAAAGGTCACGGAAATACAGGAAGCGAGCGAAGATCGCCGATAAAAAAAAATTGTTACGCAATTTTATTGGGATCGCAAAGAAATTTGCTTAATAGTTATTTTCGTTTGAATCGATAAATTCCAATCTTTTAATAGGCTCATTTCTTGTTTTCGTAACATATGCAAACGCCATATTAAATTCCAGGCAATTTTGTTTGATTGCATTGTGACGTTCGCTGTTTATGATGTTGCCTATAATTAAGCGATATAAGATGGAATATCTCTTGAAAGGGTCGATACGATCCAATTGGAAAGCAGAAAACAATATTAAAAACAGATTATAGATAACTTATATTTATAAATTGTGTTGTCTAGAGAAACAGTTACACAGTTAACTGTAAATAATTAAATCCGTTGGAATATTTTGATGGGGGAAAACAGTTGTATAAGTAAAGTAAAATAACAATAGGATATATATTTTTTTTAATGGTTTTATGATGTTTGCATATGCATAAACTCAAAGATAATTCAATATGACTAGTAGCAAATATATACAGAAAAACTTCAAGTAAATTCATGTTTAAATAATTATAATAGTACAAAATGTTATTATTGACTGCTTTATGTCTGTCCTAATATTAGTAGTATACGAATATAAACATTACTGTGATAAATGTCCAAATCTATGGAATATAAGTACGAGAAAAACAACACGTATTGCTAAGTAATTATTTACCACTGTTCAGGTATTTCTTTCACAGAAACTCTTGAAGTCAACAAAAGTGTAAAGGGGAAGATGTTAATACATTATTGTTTAAAATTGATATCAATGTGATTCTTATTTTTTTTTAATTAATTTTCTGAATAAGTGCGGATTTTATAGACTAAATCAGTGATTCCCAAAGTGGTCAAATTAGTCATTGATGGAGTAAACCAAATCCGAAGCAATGCGTTGAATACTTTCATCAATTACTCCTTCACACTGAAGTACGCTGGCTGTCGAAAGGCTTATGTTTGACAAGATTTTTTGCACTTTTTGAGACTATTGTAGAATTTCCGGATACTAAAGATAAAAATAAATTTGATTAAAACAAAGTCCATCTTATCAGCGTTTCTTCAGTGTTAAACTAATGAAACAAAATATTGGACGGGGCTAATTTTCCCAGTTCCCCAATTTGTCACAGACAAACTGCCAGGAAGACGACGTTTCAACAACCTACGTTCAACATTTAAATGCCCTCTATTCAGATTTTGATACTAGGTTTGAGGACGTTTTGACTATGGTAATACCACCGCGGATAATTAACCCATATGGTGACATAGAAGAAACGAATGTCATAATACAAGAGGAACTGATTGAACTAAGTACAAACGAAGAACTTAAGTTTTAGTTTAAAAACGGATATCATCAATTCTGGCTGCAAAACAACATACCCGTTCGGTTACTTATCCCGTATTATGGAATATAGCGAGGAAATTTTTTAATTTCCTTTCCATCGTCATAACTAGTGGAAAGGGGGTTCAGCGCTGTTACCAATCTCCTAACGACAAAAAGAAACAGACTGGACATCATTAGACGAGGAGATTTAAGATTAAACCTTACAAAATTTACGCCAAATGTTGACAATTTATTATTAATGCATCAGGTTCATCCTTCTCACTAAAAACATTTACTTATTGCTTAGTTTATTTTATGTTACCTATATTTTATATAACAGATACAATTTGAGTAGTTTTAATTTATGTATAAAACTTAACATGTGTTTTTACTTTAAGTTTTTAACACTAAACTTCACTACAGTTAGAAATATACAAAAAAAATCAATATCAGGTCCCCCTACTTACCGAAAACCGAAAACATGGCAAGGGGTCTACGACACAAACAAGTTTGGGAACCTCTGGACTAAATTAATGAAAGAAAATAATTATTATTAGCGATTTGGGACTATACAAGTAATTATTTGAAATATTTGTCTTGTAATTAGTTACGGAAACTTCTTTGAAAAGTTATATAAAGTTGATTTATTTAAAAAGTATCTAAATTTTTAGAAATTTATATAGGAAAAAGGATGTGACAATGTCAAACTTGACTATGACGACCGAAGATTACGAAATGATGTGTATATAATAAGTAGGAAGTGTGGCTCGATGATTGACATAACAATGTCTACCAATTTATACTATACTCATCATATATCAATAAAGTATGATATGATATATAATTATTATACTTATATAATAATTACTTTAATTAGTAGGATATTTCTTCATTTTGTTGGTTCTAATGAATGTTTTTCTTTCTCTTTTGCAGAGCCATCATGGCGCTCAACGAGCAATTCGGCGCTGCTATCTCGCCCAACATAACCATCCCTCTACAAGAAACATCCCACATCATCATCAACAACAACACACGCTATTACCTATCAACACTCTTCATATCCAGTTTGCATCTCCAAAATCGCAAAAACGATGATGGAATCAGTTACGCTGGAGTGGAAACTCGAGCCGTTGTCGCCTCCTCTCACCAATGCTGAGGATGCGACACTGTGCTCGGAAGATCTATATTGGACGGAAGTAGAATTGAACGATGAAGCGAGTCACAAGAACAAGTTCGAGATCGTCACCGAGATCCTGGAAAATCTTGATAATCTCGAAGATCTAGATGAATTTATCAATGGAAACGAAGGTGGGTCTTCACATTCAGATGCATCAAAAATCGTAGAAAAATAATATCCAAACTAAACAAAAACAAACATGCAAATATAAAAATAAAACATTAGATTCGGTGGCCAAGGATTTCTCCGATGACCTCTTCCACGGAGATCGCCTTAACACTGCGATAAGTCCTGATAATTCTAAAAGGATGTGGAGGCGGAATCTTTCAGGTTTTTTTTTTTGTAATTCTCTCGCACATTTCCTTTCGTCTTTCGAGAAAGTAAAAGCCTTGCCTGATTTTTCTTGAAAACCTGTTTCTTTCAGACACCTATTTGCAAATTGCATATGCATTATCGAGTGGCCAAGGAAGAAAACGGGAAGGCAAATTGAGATTTTCTATTATTAGTCGACAGATTAGCATATATATGGGCGCGAATGGAAAGGGTAAACTGCGTTTTAATTAATATTTTTCAATAAATTAACGCAACAAATAAGTTAGCTGTTTCCGTCGTCTGGACAATTATGTAATGGTCTGTTGTAGCCTCCAATTAATGTTAATGCGAATTGCATACTTTGAGCTGCGTCTCCTAAAAAGGGTTAGTTGTTTATGAATAGTGTGGATTGATTGAGCGATTAGATCATGTCTAGTCACAACAAAGAAACATTGCGAATGTCTAGGTGGAGTCGCCCTTGTTCTGCTCGGCTAGACACACGTTGTCACGTTGATTATGCTCATGTCTAGGTCGCAATTATAGTTGACGTTTTTTTTCTGTTACGAACAGATTGAAATGAACGCAGCCAACGCAAAGTTTTAAAATATTCAGAAGCGCGAATGGCAGACACGAACCAGACGCGTGTATCGGAAGACATATTAACGTAAAGAACCCTTCACCGAGGCTGTAACTGTAACAGCAGCCTCGAAGGTTTTTGGGAGTTCCTTATCGAAAATCCACATGGAATAAACCGGTTACAAATGGTCCAAAGTTCAGAATCTCTTACATTCTATTGCCAATAACAGAAACAGAACATTGCTAAATTATGGTTCTTGGTTGGTTTTAAATGTGCAATGTACGGATGTACTTTTGTTGCTGTTTATATGAAAGGGGTTTGAATGTTTCAAAAGTGGTGACAGTTTATTGGATCAATTGGGTACTGAATCGAAAGCAATTAACGCGTCTTTTTTTTTGGAAAACAATATGTATGCGTACGCGTTCGTATTGATATGACCTTTGACACTCCTCGGTCGGATCTTCAATAATAATAATAACAACAATAAAGAAAAGAAAAAGTGATCAAACGCAGTTTGTGTGTGCGAGTGTATGTATGTATGGTCATATCAGTCTTATCCTTGATAGATTAGTGGGGAGGGCGACTACTTGTGTATGCTTAGAGCGAGAACATTCTTCGACAGCAAGACAGTCTACGTTGTTTCTGTGTTACCGCAAGTCGGCGCGTTCCGAGAGTGCGCCGTTCGTCGTCAATTCATCGCATCACAAGTTTCCCCAAGTTTTGATCAACAGCTCCCGCGAGTTCTGCTACTACAACTACTACTGTTGCTGCTGTTATTCCTTCTTTCGTGTTCGCCGATCGCGAATTAAACGTGACCATTATTCCCTCAAATTCTTTGACCCGATTTCCTCGATGGTCGGTACCAATGATCTACAACGGCAATCCGTATAGTATGACGTTCACATATCACTATACCTGGAATCGAGAAATTGTATTCAACTCCCAGAAGCTCGTGAAGAGACGCTGAAAACCTCAGGCACAGGATCGCGCACCCCCGAAGCAAAAATTAATATCATACATATTATTACATTTTTGCTCCGAAAGAGACATCAACCCCCTGTTATTTGATATACCGAACTATTCTTCCGTACTCTAATCACGTTTAGTGTGTTCGCTCTATATAAATATAAATATATATTATATATATTATCGTTAATTAACAATGGTCTCTTGTTATGGTAGGTGAAACTCATCACTCGCTATTCACACCCTCATTATGCACATTCAACATTAAATTGTCAATCATCTGCGGCGGCGGCGGCGGCCAATTCGTACTTGTGCTGTAAGAGTTTGCACAGGCTAGAAGTGCGACGAAGAAAATATTAGTATAATACAGCATTAATAAGCGCAAGGACATCCGAGAATATATAATGTATGTGTAAAACTAGTTTTTTTTTTGTTGCTAATGTGATTTTCCTTCTCGCTACATTGAACATTCTCTATTTCTCTCCTCAGATTCAATTCGCTCAACTCGTTTTCGGCAAATCGATGTTGTTGCGTTAATTCGAATTATTGTTATAATTTGTTGCTTTTCGCCTGTTTCTCTTCTGATCATTTAGTTAAAGTTGAATCGAGTGGATGGGGAAAATCACATAATGTATTTAGATACTGTAATCATCGAGGTCACATATACCAGATATCAATTGTACTTTGAGTTTCAAACTGAAAGAATTATTTTCAGAATGCATCAAAGGCGCACACAATGAAACTGCTTGTGACAATAGAAGCGCGGGGCGATGGCATAGGTGTAAACAAGAGATATTTTTAGTCTTATTTTTGGAATTCGAACCAATAACATTTACAAATAAGAAGATAGCTTGCCTTATCAATGATAAATATTTTTTTGTATCCTATTTGGAATATTTCACGGTTTTCATATTTCTATTCAGTTTTATTTTTATGATTGTCCGTGTTTGCAGGAGCGCCTTTTTTTTTATTTTGGTAATGTTGTTCGAAATGCGACGACTTGCTTGCAACAAGAGGTTGAAGGCACTCAAGTGGGATGAGGTCAATGCGTATCAATTTAAACGCATGAAATCGTAATCGAACTAGAAGCAAACGTTGGTCCGTTTGTATTGCAAGCAGCAATTACATTCATCATGAACTGGTTTTACAATTGCACTTGGCGATCACTTTATTTTAAATCCATAGAGTCTTGAAATAATGTTAAGATTACTGTAAAAAGTAATAACCAAATCGTCTTTTAACCGTTATCTGAAAAACTTGTTACAAGATTTCTTATCATAATCTGATGTCTAGTAAATGTTGTTATAATCTATAGGGGTCAGTGTACGACTATGAATTATTTTGAAGCATCAAGGTGTGAAGTTTGTTTGGATGATGTTTTGTTCATCTTCATCGATTATGTGACCCGACCCATCTTTGAACTTTGCGTTTGATTACGTTGTGACCTGAAAAATCAAAGAGTCATTACCTTGACGATTAAAAAAAAGAGTAAAATTCTTATGTCAATGGTGATTTTACGACCATTTTGAGTGATCCGTTGTTTACGAACATATTGAGATTACATAAAAGCTCAGTAAGAGTATTGCAGGATATTTGATATATGTAAACAATTACGGCAATTGCTTCAACATATTATAGATATGTTTTATTGTTTAATAAATATTGTAGATTTAATAATTCTAATGCATGCACGTAACAACAAAGTCGTGCAAACATTTCATATAATTATGATGATCAAACTGTATAGTATCTTGTCTATACTAGAGCAAATCCAATTCATACTAATTCGTGAATCATTTTATCTAGACAGTCGATGACCCGAAAAGTGAATGTTTTTACTATTTATTTTTTTATAATTTGATATGTAATTTTCTCGATCGTAGTAAAACCCAAATGTGTGCATATTTCGTACGAATTTATGAATGCGTAGGGGATTTCCGTGTCTCTTATATTAGAATGTTAATTAAAAAGAAGAAAAGAGAAAACACGTTGCATATCCTTGATATTATTAACTTATGTATTGGCGTATTATTGCTCAATTACCAATGCTGTGCAGCTGATTGGGTTAATTGTTTATCGAGACAAATATTCGCTGTGATCATTATACACTGATATTGGAAAATCGCGTTGCGTGATTGTGTTTAAGGAGCAGAAAATTGATATTACGCGAATTCGTTGTTGTTTTGGTGAAAGTACGACACATTCCAAGTGTCGATGCTGAATTTATCAATTGGGGAAAGTTTTTGAAATAGCATTAGAAATATTGGCAAGAAGTTACGTCTTGTCATGCAAAAACAAATAAACAGATGAAAGAAAGAAGAAAATAAATAGAATTAATTAATTTCATCTAAATATTTTATCAGTTTTATCGCATTTAATTGAGGCTACGATGGAATTTTTTCGCGATTGATATATTTTGTTCCAATTAGCAACAAATTTATGCCATTTTATCTGGGCCAAAGGTTGTGCATTGCGTATTCTCTCTCTCATAACATATTTATGTAAAACCCACGCCTCGGAAATTGGAAAAGCTGGCGTATAATAATTGTGTACAATTTCAGCCTAAATGAAAAAATAAAAATAAAATAAAGTAGAATCAATAACAACAACAACTATCTACTATATTGTCGCATTGCATAAATGTAAGGAGTTTTTAAATAATTGAAAAATATATCTCGAACGTCCTTGAAGTAGGTGTATTTTGTTGTTCTGTTCACTTTCACATTCTCATACGCGCGAATACATTATATTATTGATTTCTATCCATCCGTTGTAGCGTTGAGTAAACAATGTTTGTTTGTTGCCTTTTTTTCTAGATGCTTTTTCATCCTACTGGATGGACGATGACAAGATGCTGCCAATGTACGAGGAATCACAACCTATGGAAAAGTCGTCGTTCCACCACCATCACGCACACCATCAACAACATGTTTCTCTGCAGCAGCAGGAGCCGGTTTACTCCAATCAGTCGACACAGTCCCTGCTGACGGAGTTCCAGAACGTCTTCGATTCCGTGAACAACAATGGATCTTTGACACCTCCTCAAAGTCCGCAGCCGTCGCTGATAATTCTTCAGCCGGCCGGCGGGACATTAGCAACACCATCATCCGATCACACCTACCAAGTGGTGGGTCTGAAAGTGCAGAACGTTCCTTTGGAATACCCATCTCCCAACACACCCCAAACCAATGTCAACCACGAACTGGCTTTCGTGGAAGAGCTGGTCCGGTCCAGGGTGGAAACTATGGTTCCATCCTCGCCGAGCAGCAGTAGCTGCAGCAACTACGGCGATTCCTCTTCCGACGATCCGGAATGGTCCACGGAGGGTTCAGGATTTACGAAGAAATCTGGATCGGGGCGTGACAAGATCAAGCCGTACTCCAGGAACGGTGAGGAGAAAAAGTTCAGGAAGAAGGAGCAGAACAAGAACGCGGCCACCCGGTACCGTCTGAAGAAGAAAGCGGAAGTGGAGGAGATTTTAGGTGAAGAAAAAGGGCTGCTGGACACGAAAACCCAACTGGAGGGCAACGTCGTAGATCTGCAGCGGGAAATTAAATGTTTGAAAAGTTTGATGCGCGATCTCTTCAAGGCCAAGGGCCTCATCAACTAAGGCCCTGTGTTGCATCCCATCAGTTTACATCGTTTGTTGGATAACCTCGATGGTTAAACTACGAACGATGCAAACGTACAGGCCTATACACGAACTTGCTAACTGGGAATTTGCTTTACATATTTTTTTAATTTTATTTTTTTTCTTGCTTTCGTTCAATATAGATTTTTTTTCATGAATTTAAATTAAGGAAAACTAAGTTTTGTCTTATTTATCATCTTTTTACTTCTTTCTATATATTCTATGTTATACATATTAACACCCGTCGCCATTTCATCGTTGATTTTTAATTACTAATCTACCTAATTAAGATAAAGCATTTATTCAACAACAAAACATATCTTTTTGTTATATTCTATTATTGTTATAAATAGTAAGATAAATTATGTTTCATTTTATGTTTGGCAAACAACAGATCAGAACACGCAGCAACAACATAGAAAAAAAAAATACATGGAGAAATTAAATGGAGCAATTGAATAATAAATAAAATGAAACTTTATTTGGACTATAAGTATGTATTAAATATCAGATATTTTAGAGAGTAGTGGAGGGTTGCTTCGCATCGCTGTAGCTGGCAGCACCAAACTGAAGGTGAATAATACTTGAATGGGCGTCGACTCAAAAGTTATATACTTTTGATCGCTTATTTCATGCAAAAGCGTAAATAGTTTTCTTAAGAAATCGAAGAAATTGCAGTTCTTCTAACGGCTGCGCTCAGAATTGCATTGCTATCCGGTTGTTCCGTGATGATGTCGATAGTGACCCATTGTCTGGTCTGAGACGATTCCCTGATGGCGCTCAAAACCGCTTGCACGTAAAGACCATCCTCGAATCCAGCTGCAGAGCATACAGATTCCTTAATCCAACCAGCTTTCTCTTTCACTGGAGAAAAAGCCTCCTTTAGAGATGCAACCATTTTATTCAATCCCTTTGCATAAGGCATTGGCAGAACACTGCTTGAACAGCAATCTGTCTCATCAGTATCCAAATATAAAACTTCCTCTTTGGAATTATCTTTTCTTCCCAGCAAATTGCCACCTTGCACAATCAACTGTCCTTCCTCTCCACAAATATTCACCTCCAGAGAGAAATTATCACCAGATGTATGGCTGTTGATGGTGGCAACAACCAAAATTCCCTTGTTCAATTCCATTTGGAAGGTGCAGAAATCTGGGGCAGAGATTTGCCGAATACCATTAATCGCTTTGGTTGTTTTGGTGAAAGTCCTCACCACACCATGCACCTTCTTTGCTAAATGACCGGTCAAGAATGTCACCAGGTCCACAACATGGCTTCCAATTAGATTCAAAGTGCCTCCACCCATCATATCATCGCACCTCCAATCATAACTGTTAATATCTGGAAACAATTTTCCAGTTTGGATCCTAATGTCGATTAGAGTTATATTTGCTCCCATATAATTCTCCTCGATTGCCTGCTTCATGTGTGTGAACGCAGGCAGAAATCTGAATGAGTGATTCACAATGGAAATCAGTGTTGGGTAGTACTGGCCTGCCCTGACCATCTTCAGGGCATCCTCCTGGTTCAGACCGGCTGGTCTATCACAGACAACATGTTTGCCAATTCCTAATGCCTTTACGGATATCTGTGCGTGAAGGTTCGGCGAGCACAGAACAAATATCAGATCCACGTCCTTCCTCAGCAGCACATCGTCAATTTTGTTGGTGTGAAATGGGATTTTCAATTCCTTGGCAGCCTCCTGAGCCTCCGCCGAAGTCCTGCTCCAGATGGCTTCGATTTTGAAGCCATTCTCTCGTAGAATCGGAACCAGTGCTTTCACTATTGGACCTGTGCCAAACAGTCCAATTCCCGGTAACATTTTACATTATTTTTAATCACAATTCACTTTGTTTACGTATCTAAACGTAAACATCAACTTAACCTATTTATTTGATACTGCTGTCATCCATTTCCAGACAATACTTATTCATATTGGAAATTCCACATATTAAATTAGTAATAATCAAATATTCCAATAACATTCCAGTATACATCTGTATACCATTAACATTCCAATTTGTAAAAGAATAAAATTAAATATTATGTTTACATTTATATTTCTTGAATAGATGTCGCTTATTTATAAAAATAAGTTTTAAAATTATTTAAATTTCTTAACTAGAACAGAGAAAAAGTCGTAAAACAATATACATTAATATTTGATGGTCACGTAGCAAAGTTCTAATAGATGCAGTTACTACACCTAATTGAATTGAATTTCAAAAGCAAAGTAATTACAGTTATTTACTATAATTGAGAGAATGTATTCAAAACTGTCTTAGTTTTCTTATTTCAACATCTAAATTATTTATAGAATGATAACAAATATAGTTTTCATATTCAATTTCACATTTTAGTGATTTCCGACTAAATCTATAATAGATAGAACGGATCGAAAAGATACATATTGAAGCATAGATAAATTTTTGTAAATATAATAAATTTATTTATAGGATGTGTAAAGAGTATTCTAATTCGTTAATTGCGTCAGGAGCGCTGAACCTTTCAAAATCCAGAAGCTCTGCTTTTCAGTTGTCGGCAATAAGACGGAGATTACAAAATTCGTGCTGTGTCCTGTCGTCGATAAAGTTCCAGCCCTGGCGGAAGTCTTGTAAAGCGGCGCAATATATCTGGGATCGATTTCTGGCATTTTAGTTACCGGAATTAAAGTCAAAGCCGGTAACGAAGGATTTACCTCACCTACGCAATCCGTTAATAATTAATAATTTCGGAAAAGAAACAAACATATTCGTACCAGGCTTCGGATCGGTCAAGATCATATTCCTGAAATCCCAGCGGGACGCATCCATGTAGATGCCGTGCAGGTTCACTCCGTCACGAGGGGCTTCCAGATCTCCGTACAAACTATAATCCTAAAATAATAATTCATCAACCATTCATTCCCAAAATACTATTCATTTGTAATCACTTACTTCTTTTCCGCCGTTATTGTCGTGTCCCAATTTGATTTCTTCTTGATGTAAGACGTATGGTTTAACAATGAAATTGAACTTGAGCTGATCGATTGGCAAGTTGTACTTCCTAGCGTGCGTTTGCAGGGTTCCCGTGAGGAATCCCTGAGGGAAATAGAAGCCAGATATCCAATAGGAATTGGGTTGGCCCGATCTCAGCCAGACGCAGATGAAATCCAAACGCAATTCCAAGTCTTTGATCCAACTTCCTAAACTCTTCAGAGACGGATAACTTCGGGCCGACCACATTTTTGGAACCTGGTTATTACTGAAGGCCGTGTACACTTCTTCCAAAGCGTCAGACATCAGCACCAGACCTTTGATCGCTTTCTGCAGCGATTCCATCGACGTGTGGATCATCTTGAGCATCTTGTTGAAACGATCCACTTCTTGCTTCAGCACGGTCGTTAGGGATGGAAACCTTCCTTTATCGTCTCTCTAAAATGAATATGTTAAATTATATTATTCTTAATTTCAAAGAAAAATGAAAAGCAAACATACCACAAACATCTTGGCGTTTGCATCGTCCATTTTAATCTTCGGAAGGATCGTAGTTATTACTGTTTCAGCCAATTCATAAACCACATCGTCTGTAGATATTTCCTCTCCTCCACCAGAGGTCCGAGGTTGGCTCTCCATAATTGTGTTAATTAAGCTTTGAGTTTCTTTCACCTATGACATTAAATCTCTTAATGTCTGTTATCATTTATAATATATAAAAACATTAAACTTTTAATGTTTTTAGAATTAATAATCTATAATTTCTTATTATTCACAGAATTTATGAATTCAGAACAAGTTTACGTTTACTATATAAACTACTATTTATAGCATTCTGTATTTTTTTTACAAATGTAATAAGAATTATCAGTAGGTGTTATTAATATCAAATAGTTTGTTTGCTTTATTACCATTGAGTAAAGTTATTGCAATTTGACGTTACGGCTGGATGCACATTAAGTGCGATTTATTTGGCAAATGCAATGTCGTTCATTGAGATTGCATCATTTTGAGAGTTTCAATGAAAGTAAACCGAATCGGAAAATTTAACGCGATATATAAATTACTATCTATATTATGCAAGAATTTAAATACTATTCAACAAAATATCGAACCGGCACTGATTTGTGTTAGCAATCACTTTGTGAGTATAATATAAAAGTTTCAATATGATGTTGTACTTGCAAATGGAATTAAATGTTTCAATTGTTTTACCTGATAAGCAATATTGGCGTTTTCGTGCATTCCAAAAATCTCTGGTTCTTCTAAAATTGGAAGTTCATCTATGAAATTTCTATACTCTTCCAATGTCATGAAATCTGGACAATAGTAGACACCGGACTCAGAGTACGAATAATTCTTCGCCACGGTGTGTGGAGCAAAGAAACCCTTCAATATTGTCTTCAAACACCTCAAATCCCAGTAGTCGGTGACTCGTCCACCATAAGTGATTTCGCCTGAGCAAGGCACAATAATAAAAGAAGATTGAAATTCGTTTGCATTAATATTTCTCACCTGTTATGTATTCCAAGGCATCCCAAGGGATGACTCCTTCCGCGCAATACATTTGTAAAGTGTTGAAGGCGAATTCTCGGTCGCTATCGTTGAATTCGTATGTTATATTCCATCCTAAAGGTCCAAACTTTTTTCGCTCTTGAATGACTGCGTGGAACATGCACAAGCCGAAAAGCATTGATTTCCATTGTTGTCCCAAAACTACAAAAAGACATGAGCACAAAAATCTTCGCGGTTTATCTTTAGTTACTGTGATCCTCGAAGAATTCGTCCAGCATATCGATGAATGCTCGTTTTATGTTGGCCCTTAAACCTTTCGGTGGTTCGTTGGTCACCTTCACGGAGTTCTGTAGCACGGAAACGGGAAACGTTTTGCAGGGCATCGAGCTCAAGAACAACCGGAATTCGTCGTGGACCTGTTGAGGGTTTTCTGCAATGTGCAATATGATCTTCTCCATGGAGAGCATCCATGAGGTGGCCAGATGGCAGTTCTGCAAGAACACCCAGTCGCCGCGTAACTTTCCTTGCTCTATGAGCTTTTCTGCCACAGGTCCTTGACCCTGACCCAAGGAAATAGATTGGATCCGGTCCGTGTATCCCATATCGGCTGCGAACCTCTGGAACGCGCCAAAAGGATCCGAACCAGTGCTCAGTACGAACACCAAGGGCGTTATATTGGAAGTATCTTGGTATCTAAAATAAATCATTGTTAGCTACAGTTAAAGAAATCAATGATTACTGTTTCTTTTTACAGAATTTGAAGCGAAACTTGAGGACTCTCAACGAACGGTTGGCCCAGTTTGATCCTCACGTATTCCGTAATAGCAAACACCAATTTCTCCTCTCTAAGAGTTTTGATCAACAGCAATTTATCGAAATCGTCGACATTTCCGTTCCAGTTGATCATACTCTGTGCTCTTCTCAATCCAGTGACCGTGAATGAAATGTTCTGAAAAGAGAGCAAGATAAGCTCAAAAATTCAAATAAACAAAAAGCAGAAAGTACGTATTCAAAGTCTCCTATTTGTATGAATATGGATTTCAGGCAATCCGACCGGAGGCCATCGAATTGCTTATAGGTCTGCTCTAAATAGCAAACAGCCGTCCAAGTGTTGTCTGTTAAGCCAACAATATCGGGTTTCTTTTCCATCGGCGCTTTGTAACCCACAGGACCTCTCAGCAAAAAGTTGTAAGCAGCATCGGTAATGAGTCCATCCTCCTTCAAAACTACAACGCACAGCATGAAACTGTACACCAATTTGTGCCGTTCGAAGAGACCTCGGGAAACGTTCGTGTACACCGCCAATGTTATCTCTTTGAATAGCGTCTCCAGCCTAATATCCAAATCTTCGTTCTTTTCGCTTACCTCAATAACCGTATCGAATACCTATCAGAGTTATAATTATTCTATTTTTTTTTCAATTCCAAAGTAATTTTATACTAACCTGAGTAAAATATTTTAAAGAGTATTGATACATCGGATCAATATCCGCCAATTTTGCTACGACGAAGTAAAGTATTGATCCTCTGGTTGCAACGGTTCTATACTTTTCGCGAGCCTCGGAAATCTTTTCTTCTGTGGCCACTGTTTCAATCAGACGGGCTTCAATTATTCCAGACGTTTCTTTGCTTTCATTCAAAGCGTCGATCAATTCTTCATCATCCAAGATGTTGCCTTCGGATTGGTAAAGCATCCGCAAAATTTTATCTTCAATACTTTGCAATTGCGTTTTGTCGTTGTTGATTCTGATTACCAGCTCAGTTCGGAGCGATTCCAGATCGGGTCTTTCTAATCGTACTACATCTCTGAAAATGATCATCAGAGAGATTCAAGAGAGATGTTATACAAAGTATTGCTTACGCAAGTAATTGTTCTTCGAGTCCTGAAGGTGTCACTGTGAAATTGACCAACGTTACTTGAATACAAATTTCTGGTAGGTAATGAGGATTTGCCAGTTTAGTTGTAATGTACAAGCGAAAATTGGAATCGTATTCCACATCAGAATCTCCTAATCTAATCAACGTTCTTCCACCCTGGATTAACGTAGATTGTAATAAACATATTACAATATAATGTTATGAATTACCTGGACGAATGTTTGTTTCAGTAATATGGGTGCTAATGTGGGATCCAAAGTTTCACCGACCTCTTCGATAAGAACCGGTAATCCAATACGAATAGCGCTTTCCATATTTCTCATGTATCCGGAATCGGTGAGCTTCATGATTTTTAAATTGTTTTCCGCTTCCATCTGCCGTATCCAGCGATAGGCCTGTTCTTGTGGATCGATCATCAAAGGCCATCGACCTGCCTGTGTTACCAATATACCATTATCCGTCGAAACATTATCTCTGGGCAAACCCCAAGTGTTCCACATTCGGATGTCATAGGGATCGGCCAAAACACCAATAAGGCTGAACGTCTGCGACGATGGTATTTTCATTTCGTAGCATTTGTTAAGCCACAAATTTGTTAAGTCCTTCCTGTAGGTTGCGGTAAACGCTCCGTAATAAGCAACGCAGGCGGCCGCGACTAAAACGTCACCAACAATACAAGACAATTCTTTGTCGAATCTCTAAAAAGCCAATGATTTGCATTCGTTATACTAATCAATAGTGTGATGATATTTACGATAATGCTTTGCTCCCAGCGAATTTGTTCATCTGCTAAGGCGATGTTCAAGCGTCCTGCCCTTTGCAAACGGGCAGCCGTTAAATCCATGGTATCCTCGAGCTCCTTCTTCGCAGCAATACTTGCATCGAATTTGTTTTGAAGCGATTGGATCATAGACTCAACCTCGAACAACTGACGTTGCTTTTCCTGCAGCAATGTCATAACATTATTCAAGATCTTTTCAGCCGCCTGCAATCTGAAAATTGCTTAATCGTTAATGCGAACATTTGGTTATTTAGATTACTATCCATTACTTCTTTCTTTTTGGCTCAACGATTTTGTAGACCTTTGCGTACATATCTATGGCCCTGACCCACATACACATGCTCTTGCACACTTTGGAGACGGATGCAACTATATCCGGCTGGAAATCTTTATTGTCTATGTAGACCTTGAGCTTCCTCTGCGTGCTCTCCGGTATGTTATTCTTATCGTATTCTTGCAGTTTCTTTAGAAAATTTCCATCGCCCATCACTAGTTTCGCGCTAGCCCAGTCCGTTCTACAATTGTTATACAATTAAAGATTGATATAAAATTAGCAAAGATTTTAACGAGACTTTGCTCCGAGTAGCAAGCATACAGCTTCCATAACGAATTTGACGAGAACCGGAGGTTTCTGAAACACGCGAATTTCATTGATGTCAGTCTTGTTCAGCGATTCCAGAGCTTTGACTGCTGCCTCCATTGCGGGCATTGCAGTGTCCAAATCTTTTTGAGCATCTGCTGCCAATGCTTGAGTTTCTTCAGCTTGCACCTATAAATTGGAAATTATGGTATTCGTTCATTACGAGCATTTATATAAACTTACTTTAGCGTTTTCTTCATCATTCTTCACCACGGTCCTTACAGTATCGGCCTGCTTTTGTTCCTTTGCTAAGTACACCATTAGATCAGCAACATCGGCTGATTTTTTCTGTAATTCTGGTTCCATTGCGGTTAAAGTTTCTTTCATTGAAGTGATAACGGTATTAGTTTCGTACAGTTTCTGAAAATTAAAAAAAAAGTATAACATTAAGAAGCAGTATCAGTCTAATAATACACACATTCAATCCGTTAAGTATTCTGTCCTTAGTCTTGAGTATTTTCGCCTTCTTTGTATCCAGCATATTCTTGTAAAGCTTCAAGAGTTCTAAATAACTGCTCGGAGTAGTATAATAATACCTTTTAACCTCGTTATAAAATCTCTCGGTCATTGCTTCCACGCTCTTCAACAAAATCGATTGGTTATCAAAAAAATGTATCATATCACTAATGTTATACCTCGTGTATTAAAACGCAGACGCTGGAAAGATTCTCGCATAGTTCAGGAGATCCGATTTTCTTCAGCGAATTTTTCGATACCGAAAGAAGTGCTTCTTGTGGCCACTTCACAAACCAATCTATCGTGCAGCAATTTACCAACGATGGAAACATTCGACATCTCCTCCTGAATAACAGAATAGAGAATACATATATATTAATTAACAAAGTAAATCAATTATTTTATTACCTGAAGGCATCACCAACTGGACTCATACAGATCACAAGATGCAGTTTGTTGCGAACGCGACCAATGAAGAATTCAAAAATACCATCTCGATTGTTCTCTTCAATTCCATTTTCTTTAGCTCCACTGCGGCAGCCAATGACAACCCGCTCGAATTCATCGGATTCGAAGAGATTTGGAACGTCACCTATAGAAAATCTTATAAAATCTTAGAAGAAATGTCTAATTTTCTTATTTTCTACCAGAATTCAAAATGTTATTTATGTCTTCGAGAAATTCTTCCTGGACAATCTGCGTGTCCGTAAACAAGAACACCGTGTCCTCACAGTTGACACCCGCATTAAAGTACATCTTCCTGACATCATCGAAGAATGCAGCATGATCGTAGTTTCTGGTCAACTCAATTTGAGAGCATTTATAACCGTTCACATGGGACGCCAATTTTGTTAGACTCTGCTTTCCCATACCACCTACACCGACCAACAAACCGTTTCCCCTTTCTGATCTAAGGATCCTTGCTATCCTAGTGCAATGCTCTACGGCGTCCATGAAGAAGATGAGGTCCATCTCTTTCGATGTCAAAAGATTATAGTCATCCAGATAATCCTGCAAGACGTTCTTCATTTTATCGATATCTCTAATCTCCTCGTAAATTTTATCTTCCGTTGCAGCCCCCATCACCATGAAGTCACCAAATAGAAGGACAGGCGGCGCTTCTTGGATTGACTCGTCTGTAAACGTCAGTACAGGAGTCCCGAAGGACCTGCTACACGTTTCTCTCATCATATAATAGAAATAGATTTTGTCCTGTTCGTTGATCAGACGATCGTGGAAGACACGTAAGCATTCGTGACAAAACAATCTGAAATTGGAGAAATACTCAATTTGTGAATTTAATTTGGCGCAGAGCGTACCTGAGCATTGATTGAGGTTCACGCATAGTGCCCGAATCCGCCTGCAAAATACCCTGAATGCATTTAGATAAATCTCTAAGATTGAAAACGTAGTGAGACTTTGCAGGCGTCGGCAGCAAGTCTTCGGAAATTCTATCGTAAATTTCCACTGCTGCATTAATTAAAGAGTCACCTATATCTCGCACTTGGTTGGAGAAATCGTTGAAGAATCCACGGATGATCGCCTGGAATATATTATATTTAAGTAAAATATTGATAGATGAAACTACAATTACCTTAAAGATCATCTTCAATGAATATTCATTTGGTGATGGAATAAATAACATCCCAAAATGCCGTACAAATCTTGGAGTTAGCGTATTCCTGCCACCACCAGGAGGAGCGCACGCTGCAGCCAGCACCACGTCTTTGATATCCTTCCAAAATAACTTTTCCCTGTCATACAGACCTTGGTAATCCAAGAACTGTCGCAGCAACTCTATAGGAGGTTGCGCACCGTACGTCTCCAATTTTGGCATATTAACGTCATCCACGAAGAGGATCACTCTTTTACCTAGAGGAGCGCCGAGCAGAGTTTTCTTCCGTTTCTCAAGCTTCAGCTCCAAAATTTCTTGAGTTCGAAAACTGCTGGTCTGCGCCGAAAAGTTCATAGTTATTGGAACGAAATCGCCGGTGACGAAGAGGCGATGTAACACGCCTTTGGCTATAACAGATTTCCCGACTCCAGTACCTCCAGTGTATAGAACTGGATAGTTCACGTTTATCAATTGTTCCATTACGTAGCCGTAACGGACGGTATCCAACGTTGGAACAAGCATTTCAAAGAATGCAACCTCCGGATCGTACACGAATTGCGGCATCAGTTTTATCCAATTCTCCAGGCGATGTATTTCCGTGTCTACGTACAATGCCCATAGATCACTTCCCGCCGGCAATCTAAGTAAATATATTTATTTATAAATTTGATTTAAGTAATAATAATTTCATAAAATGTAATTTACCTCGCATCTGGATTGTCGTCAAACTGCTCACGCACGTATGTTTCAAAACTTTCCTTTGAAGAGTCAACAAGGTTTCCGCCTAATCCCCAAATATACGAAAAGACAAAAGATTGACATAGGAATCCTTTCACTTTAGCCTTCTCTCCGATCCGGTCCATTTTCGTTTGATCAATGATACCTTGCAGCAACGCGCAAACCATCGAAACCTTGCTAATATCCACCTAAAGATTAATTTTGTTTAATTAATTTCCAAATATTTTTACTTATTCTATATACCTGGTGGATAGCGTAATCGCAATTCTTCATGATAAAAATGAAACCATTCTCGACATAAGTTTCAAACATTTCGCAAATGTATTCCTGATATTCCAAGTAGAGGATGGTTTCGTCGAATTTCTGAAGCCAAGACTTGACGAAGGGCAACCACTTGATTTCCCCAGGATCGATGTAGACCATACCGCATCTGCTCACCGTCGCAGGAGACGCCTGTGCTAAGTCCTGCACCTCAAAAACCATATGCACGTATGGCGTCAATTTGATTCTTTCGGAATTCGCCAAGCAAAGCATCTTATTATCATCCAACACTGTATTCAAATTCTCTATCCAGACAGCATCCACCGGTCCGTCACACACCACCCACTGATGATCTTCCGTGGTATTTTGCACTGCATTTCGCACCATGATTCCCATCAATCCATCGCGCCATTCTAACGTGAAAGGATTGACTTCTCCATATAGTTCTCCCGCCGTAACAGCCTTGGGATTCATGAAGTAGGTATGGACCGGATGAAAATATGGACCGGTTATTCCATCGTCGTACATTTTCGACAAAGCCATACCTAAAGTCTGTTCAAAAAGTCAACAAAACTATATTCTTAATTACATTTTTAACTTACACTTAGAACCGCAGATTTCCCACCACCCGTTGGACCGACAAGCATAACGCCCCACCTCACAATCATTGTTTCATGTAATTGTATCACTTTCTTAATCATGCAAGGTTCGGGCTGCAAAATCTTCTCCAACATCATATCCACGATTGTTGCTTCTAAAACACCGTAATCAGAAACTGGTAATTCGACGCCAGGAAACAGATCGTTCAAAATCCCCTGAAACATAAAATCTAAATTCATGATGATTTTCTCAATTTATTTGCATTATCGTACTTGGAAGAGTAAGGCATCATCTGCCAAGAATTTTGGCAAGTTGCTGTCACGAAGTGCACAAATCAGTACGACGTCTTCATTCCTATCTGGATTGGCTCGCTTCAAGGATCCAGCCATCACTAAAACACTCTTTACAGCTCTCATCCCGAAATCGTAATGGTCCTGCTGCGACAGCTGTTCACTGCATAGTTTATACATTTGAACCATCTTATGTGAGAGTATTTTGGAAGATTCGAATCCTTCGGAATAAAGCGTAACTTCGGCGATCAAAGCTAAAAGAAAATTGTCATTTGTAGCAAATATTTCAAATTTTGGTATTATATTACCATAATCCGGTACCATCATCGAAACCGGCCTAAAGAGAGCTTTCAAATTATCCGGCAATTCGGTTCGTCCCGCGTAACCTGGATTCATGGTGATGAAAGCTGCGCATGTTTGAACCAACTTTATTTCCCTTCCTTCGAACATAAATCTACAAAAAAAAAGCAAATATTAAAATTGAGTGTTTATAAAGTTATGTAATTGTTAACCTGGATAATCGTGCAGCTTTTGCGTTTCTTATGGTTATGAGTTGTTGGGCAATTACGGAAAGTACCTCGATATCAATGCGATTGAACTCGTCGAAGCAACACCAGGCACCTGACTGCGCCAATCCCGAGAAGAAGCGACCCATCATCTTGTAATCTAAGCCCTCGGAACAGTTGAAGACTACGCATTGGATGGCCAAAGATTTTGCTAAATCTTTGGTCGTTTCCGTTTTTCCTGTACCAGCTGGACCAGCAGGGGCTCCACCTAACGTAAATCAAATAAATAAACGTATCTCATAAACTTAATTTATAATGAATACCTAAATCGAGTTGCAAAGCGCCCATCAGACACAAGTAACATTTATCTGTTAAAGGAGTAATTACCAAAACACCTCCAGCTCCCAAATACTCGTACCCGTACACATAGGAGGCATTCGACATTTTAGCAACACAATTATCTATATTCTCGACCCAATAGTATCGCATCATCTTGAGCCACTCAAAGTTATTACTAAAAATAGATAATTAAATGATTAAACATTTAGATTCTTATAAGTAAAGTTCTAGAGGACCTGTCTGTAACTTTACTCTTGACCATATTGCTTATGGTATCTCTGGCATGAACATCGATCGTAATTAACGCAATCAAAACCCTTCTAGTGACTTTAGGAAGATCGGTTCTTATTAGAACGGCGAGTTTATTCAATTCCTGTATAAACAAAGATTAATGAAATATCATAATTTGTACGAAATATTAGCTTACGGCAATGTTTTTCTTTTCGAAAGCTTCCATTTCATGGACTCTATCTGCATATCGGCATTCGTCTAATATCATATGCACATCTCTGGCCCACATGATCTGAGATACAGTTAGAATGATTTGATTCGCATGATCCAGCACCCATTTGTTCCTGGGTCTTGAGATGTGATCGTAGATTGATGCCTTCATCAATTTTCTCAACGAAGCAAACATCGCCTCTTCCACTTTACCCAACCAATCCTCAACGTTTCCTCTGGCTTTCAAACCTTTGCTCAGAACCACCCTTTCGCCCTCTGGACTGATCATAGCCACGATATCCGTGGTCAGAACCGGAGTGGCCGTTTCCACAAGCTCACCATCCTCACCTTCTGTAACATTCTTGGTGCCAAACTCCAAACGGGATATTGCATCGAAGCATTTTCTCAAATGTGGCTGTACAGCATGGGGATTTCTCGTCTGAAATTGGTGTGAAATTGAATGAACATTTTAGAATTATGTAACTTACTTGAGCCAATATATCCAACAGCTCGTCGTTGGATAAGAAATAGAATCGTGGAAAGGCGACACGCTTCGTTTCTAAATACGATTCCAAACACTTCATAATCTGTTCCAAGAGTTGATTATTCTTGATTAAGGCATCTAATAGACCTGGATATGTTGCGGCCTCCATAGCCAATGGTACTTTGGATGTACGTCGCATAATCTCCTTCCAAGTCTTATCAACGATCAAGAACATCTTAGCTTCAGAAGGCAATTGCCTTTGAATATCAGGTGCAGAGAATATAACTTCCAAATAGATCCAACTTTGTTGACACATCAACCATTCGTCCTAAATTAAAAAAAAAATAAAATAGTTTTTGCTATTTTCTAACGTTAGTCATTTACCAGAGTTCGTGTAAACTGATCCAACAGCCTTATCCACTCATCCACGCGTGGTTTGATAGGTCCTACGTGTCTCGAACTTGATATGGTATTCATATTAATATTACTTTCATCTAAAACAGCTTGCACTTCTTCAGTGGATCCTAAAATCCAAACATCCTTGCTATCACGATGCGCTATAATCGGGAACTCCAACGACTTCCAAGCTTCTTCCACCTTAAGAAAGTCAACAAATCGATATAATCACAAATTTTACTTTTTCAAAAAGCAAAGCACCTTTTTGAGTAGAGCTTCCAAGCTAAATTCGCTGCTGGCTTGTCCGGATATCTCCATCAACTCTTCCGGATAACTGAAAACTTTCAACGATTCCAATAATTCCAACGTGAGTTCCTCGTCTGGTTTGAATTTGTGGTTCAATAGGACTTCGATCTTCAACCAATGCCGTTGTCGTAGCGCTGGATTTCTCAGGTAGGTTATAATTGGCAACTAGAAGTATAGTGAATTTAAATTTAAAAGATTCTCAAATCGAAGACATACTTTGTCCTTCATGCATTCAACGGAATCTTTAAGGTCCGGGACAACCAGGTTCTTAGGCAAACCCTTCTCCAGTTGCGTAATGTTCTTCACGTTTTTGGCAGTGAATAAGTTCATGTCCTCCACGTTGAGAGTATTGAAATCAACCTCGTACCACTCTTTGACTTGCTTCTCCCAACTGTCCACACTATCCCACAGTAACATCCTCAGCTTCACATCAGCCATCACCTCTTCCAGCATATCAAATCTGGTGACTTCCAACTAAAACATGAAATTATTCATAGAACAATGAACGAGCATAAGCGCAGTGAATTATCGTATACTCTAAATTGCTTTTGGAACGATTTGAACTCATTAGCTCTGCGTTGACAATCCAGAAGTTTTTCGTAGAGTTCCTTCAGGTATTCGGTAACTTCCTCGAAATTGGACTCAACGTCGTATAACCATGGTTCCTAAAATATTGATAAAAAAAAAGATAAGTATATGTAACATGATTGACTGAAATTATGTCCAATACCAGACAATCATTTTTGATGCTTCCAATCTCTTCGATGAGCTCATTAATATCTTTGTTCAGTTGATCGTTGAACCTCTTCACGATCTTATCTCGCTCTTCAGATTTCTTATCGATGGTATTTCGAAGCGTTCCCATGGTGACGCTCAAGCCAAGATAATTGGACAGATCATCCACGGAGACGGGCATCTTGAATTCCTCCATGATATCGTAAAGCTCTTTGCAATAATCTAAATCCGCTTCCATGGTGTCCGCTTTACCTGGTGCCGCATCAATAAAGTCCAAGTACTTGACGTAGTCCACCGTGTTGTCGGGTTCATTTTCTAAATATTCCTGCGAAGTATCCACCAATTCCATGAGCATATCAACTTTCTCCTTGCCCAATCTGCAAACACAAACGATAAACAATGAAGGGAAAGCAGTGGAAAATACCCAGGCATGACACGCTCCAAAGTCCAGATCAATCTGCACGGTTCAGGTAACGTTAATTCCTTCAATTCTGACAGCTGAAGATACAAGATTCCCATGGGTTGACTATCGCCTAGATTCTCTATAGTCTCCACTTCATCGTGGAACTTCGTGCACAGACGCCTGAAGTTTTCCAAACCTATAAAAACCAACATCACATAACTGCAATAGGATTTAAGTGAGATTCACTTCGTTCTTCCTCGATAATGCTCTCTTCCATATGACTATCTTCCGTGAAGAATTCCATGATCACGTTCAATTTATTAATATAAAGTCCTGCAATTCTGTAATTTGATTGAAGGTACTCGCGTACATTTATTTTGATATCAGTCAGATGTTGATTTTCGGTAATGTAGAAGGTAAGAGAAGGTCCAAAACCGCAAATCCGGTCCTCAATTTTACCATTGATGATGGGTCTGAAAATCAAGTATGTAGTAGTGGGAACTCCGTTTTTCGTAAAGAATTACTGTGTAAATGGCATAAATAATTTATCTGGTATGAAGGGTTTCACGTTTCCAACGGTGTCCTCCCACAATGTTTGAATTTGATTGAATATATTCAACGTGACTTGTAACGATGGATTCAAGTAAAGTTCACCAGGTTTTATTAACACATCGACTATGAAAAGTGGCAACTGCAAAAAAAAGGTATAAATAAAGTGTTAAATTAAATAAATAAATTATGTTAAGTGTAATTACTTGGATGCAATCATCAGGTCTAGTCAGATCAATGTCATCTTTATCCATTGCCATCATCTCCTCATCAGTGGGTAAAAAATTATAGTGGATTTGCAGAGCATGTATTAATTCCTGTGTCGAGTTAACGATCAGCTTGTGCAGCATATCCACCATCAAATAGTCAATCAATGTGATGAAACTGATAAATAAATACTTTACTTTTCCAGAAAAATGTAAAAAAATGTCGTTACCAGCATAGCCTAACAGCATACTTCTTCTTGTTGGCCTGTTCAATGTAGGACGTTTTTAACTTTTTATCCCTTCCCTTACGTGCAGCTAAAATATTAAAATCTCATATTGAATAACAACTAGTCTTCAGTTAGATTACGTTGCTCCTGTAAAGTTTCATCAACAATAAATCCTTTGTCGAGTAAAGCCCCATGGCAAGCATTTGAAATGATCTCCGAAGTTACATTTCGGAAATGCTTCAACGTTCCTTGCATCGTTTCCAATTTGTCCATCTAAATTTGAATAATTAAACATTTTCCAATTATTCTAATATAAGAATACCATACTTGGGCTTCGATGAAGTAAAACAGATGTTGATTCTCGATTTGAGAGATGTTGCTGAACGTGGCATCGTGCAATTTCTGCACCAACTCCCGAATGCGCAACAATGCGTCTCTCAGAAGCGGATTCAGGATGAAGAGGTTGTTCTTGAGGAAATCGCCGGCGTCGGTGATCTTCGTGAACAAAATCGTCTTTTTCCATACGTAGAAAGCTTTCCATTTGCGAAAGTTGAAGAAGCATTTGAAGCGCATCAGGCGACAGTACATATCGTATTCCTTCTCCCATTTGTCCAGAGAAGTGAAATTTTGTTCGGCGTCGATGTTCTGCAATACACCGTGAGCGCTCATTGTTAAGAAATAAGATTTGTCGATCTTCTCGTAAGGAACCATCCTAAATATAACAAGTTTTATACGTTTAATATTTTTTTGAGTCTATATGTTATATATACGTTAAGGCGTAAGGGGTGTAGTGTTCTGATGATCTGGGCACTGCGAAGATCAAGTAGACGAAACCGGGTATTTTTCCTGTTCTGAGGTCGTTTATCAGGGAAGTTTGGTTTATCACATTGGATAATTTGAAATGCGGAAGAATTATATCGTGGTGCTGGAAGTAGACATCCACTGGATGACCGGTGTCTACTTCGGAGATGAAATATTGCGAATGCGCGCCTACATCGCTTGGCAAATTTCTCAAAAGCGACAATTGTCTATCTCTGAATCCGGTCTACAACAGATAAAGGTATTGAAGAATCGAAGAAACAAAACTACCAGATCCTATTTACCAACGGTTCTGGCATTTCACCCTTCGGTGCCTCGTACTTCTCTAGCACGGATCGATGAGGAATGTGGAATGGAATAACATCGCGCCGTCTGAAAATATTTTATAATATTACAAATGAGACATGAAAATCTTCTTAGAGAATATTCCATGTTTCAGTTGATAATAACAGCTGTATCAAATATAATGAAATGTTGGACACTGACCTAGCAATCTTTTTAGGTGGAAGACAGACCTGCTTCATGTCATCTCCATGAGTGTAATCGGAAAATTGTCGCGACCTGCTGACGCTGGTCTTCGTTCTCTGGTTGCTATCACTAAAACTCTTTTGCGACATTTTTTTTTGCCAAAGAAATATTTGATGTGCAACGTAAAATGGCAAATATTGTCGACTGTTTGATCGGTAATTCGGTTACCATAGAAATATATTTGAGTACGAAATAACATTAAATAATAATCGACTGTTTGATCTTTTTTGATCTATAATTCGGTTACCATAGAAAACTATTTGTTGAATGAACAATTGAAAATGTCAACAAATATGCAGCATTTTGTGAGTTGTGTTCAAGAATATATTTTTGCCTATTTATGGATAATTTTGATGTTTCAAGTAAGTGAGTAGAATAAAAGGTTTTATCTTAATTTATGGTAAGGAAGTAAATAGAGTTAAACGAAGTTATAATGCTCGGAATGTGGGTACTTTATTTTTAGTAATCATATAATTGCTTTCTAGGCTTGAGGGGCGGGTTCTGAAGTGGTTGTTGTTGTAGTTGATTGCGTTTCCGTTGAAGTCTCATTGATCGCGAGCCACGGCAATCTGTTGTTGAGCTCGATCCTGCAACATAAAATACGTTGTAACGCATGCAAACAGATGGGACAACGTTAGAAGTGTTACCTGTATCTGGGATGGCTTATGGCGTATATGTAGGGATCAATACATGCGACAAATTTGCAAGCGCAAGCCGGAATCATGGTAACAGCGGGAGTCAACTTAGATTGATCTCCGAATGCGCCGATCAAGGCCAGAACGGCGTAAGGCGTCCAAGCGGCAACGAACAAGAAGCATATTGTTATTGCGGCTTTGGCTATCCTCACTTCCGCCGATTGACTCTGCTGGCTGGAGTTGCTCCTGAGCGATTCTACGTTCATTTTCTTCGCCTGCTCTCTTAACGCCTTTTCATGATTCACCACGAATCCAACGATTTTACTGTAGAAGTAAATTATCATGCTCATCGGAATCAGGTAAGAAAAGGTGAAGATCACGGCGACGAACATCTTGTTGTCGAACGTTTCGGTTAGGTAATCGAATGAGCAGGCGGTCAAGAAACCCTCTGGCACGAATCTTCCCCAGATTTCGAGCAAAGGTAGCACCGCCCACGGCGTCGTGTACATCCATATGATGATGATCATGACCAACGCCTTCACTTTAGTGACCTTTCTTTCGAGCGGATTCGCGATGGTCGAGTATCTGTCGTAGGCTATACAAGCATTCGTCATACCAGCACCAATCCCAGACATCGAACCTATGAAGGCGAAGATCTGGCAACCCAAGTGGCCGAGCGCGAATCCCCGATAGAATGAGTTGTAAATGAAAATTGGTGCTTTTAACATCATCATGAAATCGCAAATCGCTAAATTTATCACGAACATATTAGATGGGGTGCGAAGCGATTTTGCACTGAAAAAGTAAAATAATCTTGCAATACATTTCTTGATACCATTTCTTATACGCACGCTGAGAAGATCCATATAACCAATCCATTTCCAATTAGAGCAATGAAAAAGAATCCAACGTACAGAATTCCAAGAAGTAGATGCAGAGACGCCTCCGGTTCCGGATAAGAGAGCCAATGCTCAGGAATGTAAATTAACTCTTCAGGTGGTACATTCCATCCCAGCATACGGTGCCCTCCCAAGTTTCGTCCTTTGTCCAATATCCTTTAAACAATAACACTATTCAGTTATAATTTCTACTTCTATTCCAATCCATTAAGCTTACCTGGCTTCGGCTTTGGTGTATACATAACTGGTCGAATTGAGTAACGACTGCATTCCCCCGAACGCGTCCATTGCAATGCATGCCAAAACAAATTACTCAATAATGACGAAGAGGTCTACAGTGAGTTCCATTTTTATATCGAACCTTAATCGAATCAAAATGGAAATCTGAAACCTAATAAAACTGAATTTAATAGGATTATATTGGGTCTTTGATGAAATTGCATTGAAATCTCTCAGCTAAGCCTATTAAATGCATTTCGTAATTTATTATTTTGTTATACTGATTCATTTTCAATGTGAAGAACATATAATTCTTGGACAACTTATTATTTTATTGAATCTATTCGTTTGGACACTATTTGATAATATTTCCATTTATACTCCAAGACAATTTATAAGACAAGAAAATAAATATTATTTGTTGTTTAATTAAACAATTACATTTATTTTAGATTGTAAAATTACATCTGTTTATTTACAATTTATTGCTAAATTAAATAAGTTATCAGGGTATATTAACTTCTATTCTAATTATTAATAAATCATAGAGTTTATTAAAATATTTATTTGTTAACTGATGTTGTTTGTATGTTTTGATTTTTCACAATTATTCATCGCGGCGAACGTATAATAGCTTCAATCCGCAAAGTTCTGAAATTATAAGATCACTTGTATAAACTATCCCAGTCGTAAACTTCCTCGACGTCGTCTTCGTTAACTTGCTCCAACTTCTTATTAAAATAACTGCCATCGGTCGCTTCACTATTGTATTCGTTACTTTCATCAACGAACGCCTCGTTACAAGCGTTCCTATCTCTGAGCCTCGTATATACCGAAATCGTGTCCTTATAATCCAATGTCAAATTATAACTGTTCCTAAATGTATCCACGTCGTACAGCTGCGGCTTCAGCAGTAACTCGGCCTCCAGAAAAGCAAGGACATCGTCGAATTCCTTCAACTTGTTAAATACTCGGCGCTTGTACTTCGGCAGGATCTTCTCTAGCATGAACACCAAATGATGATGGAAGCAGTGGAAATTCAGGTTCAAAGGTCTGGAAGAGATTTTCGGCTCGGTCACCTCCGAGTAACTACTCATTGGAACGGTGCTGTTGTAGCAGATGTTGATCCACTTTTGGACGCAGTTCAATGTTGGTTTGCTCGCACCCGTAAACAACATGGGATTTGTCAATAAAGAATTTGCAACCATAACACCTGAAACATACAATTCAAATAAGTTAAGAGTGTTTTTATGTTACCTAGAAACATTTTTTGTTTCTTTAATTTGTAACCAATGGAAATATACAGTTTATTTATATAATTGTATATTGCTGATGTTGACATCGGGAAATTAATCGAGTTGAATATAATTGTTATTTGTCAATTTTTGATCGACGAAATGGGTCACGGTTTCGGCGAACTGTACAAACTGCGAGGTATCATCACGTACCGGTTATCACCGTTCGAACAGAGGGCCTTCGCCAAAGCGTTCTCCGCTGGAATACCCAGAACCATAAGAAGATGCTTAGGGGAGGCAGCATACGTAGTACCGCCCTTCACACTGGCATATTTGGTATTCGATTTTGCCGAGAAGAAACACGAATTTCTGAAGCGCAAAGTCCCTGGTCAATTTGACCACGAAGACTTCGGCGATGAGCCCGAGCCAGAAGCTGGAGACGAATTGTAATATGTTTTTTTTTTTTGCGAATAAAGAAAAACTTGCCTTTGCATCCAGTTTCTAAAGCCAATTCGTCGCATTCGTTTAAACTCGTCAGTCCGCCGTTCGCAACGATCGGACATCGCACGCTTTCTTGGATCAGTTTCAGAACGTTCCTGTTTATGTCTCCCGTCGATTGACTTGCCGTTCTCGCGTGAACGCTCAAGAAACTCGCTCCGGCATGCTCGAACTGTCGACACAGATCCACGGTTTTCCTAAATCAATCAAAATTAGAGAAATCGTAGATTACGCAAAACCAATACATCGTACTTATCATCATTCAATATTCTCATCTTAACAGATACAGAAAACTGCTTGGGAATGGTATTCCTGCACTCCTTTATTATATTGCTAATGACTTCTGGATCATCTAGCATAGCACATCCCAATCCCATCTGTTTTGCCCATCTCTGTGGGCATCCACAGTTCAAATCAATTCCATCACAGAAACTGTAACATTTCCATATTGTTTTAATTAATTACATTTGTTAGCTTATATTTACGGTGCGACCATGTATGCAGCTCCAACAAATTCGTGAACCGTGTTTGCAGCAAATTGAACAATCAATGGACCATCATCTGCACAAAAACAATAAACACACATTACTACAACAGCCATGATAAATAATGGCACTTCACCTGCATTTGTTGTAAACTCATTTTGACGTGCATGCGAGCTTTTGCAGAAGGAATCAGCGAGAATCATGGGGGTAAAACATAAATCACATCCATATTGTCTGACCAATGTTCGGAATTGTAATCTGTGAAGAGGGATCAATGAATATCATGCTGGTTGTTATTGATTTAATGACCAACACTTACTTACTATATCTGACCATTGGGGCACATACTTTCAGATATTTTCTTTGATTAAACAGATCATTAATATTGTGCGATTGTCTAGGATTTATTTCCTCTTCCATTTTTTATAGGTTAATTTTCTATTCAATAATGAATGCAGACCTAAACATAATACTGTGGAAGTGGTTGTATACTCCCATTTTTTTAAATTTTGCTGTAAATATTCTAATTTACTCGATATATGTAATTTTCTAACATTCAATTTGATTTCTAGGAATATATTGTAATATGTAAAGAAAAAATATCAAATGTTAAGCAACAAGTGACATGTTTAAATGGGTGACCTGGACTAGTACTGACAAATTTAGTCTAAAGTTAAGAGAACACAGAGTTTGTTTAAAAACGGCTTTTAATAAAAATTTGGAACATGTTTAACAATCACAAATATGTAGACTGTATGGAAAGTAATAATATTTGTAGAGCTCCAAAATGAGAATCATAAAATATCACTTTTCAGCGCCTAATACTGCAAGTCTGTCAGCTCCCTCGTTTCCGGCAACTCCCTTATGTCCAGGAACGTATTCCTGAAATCAACAAGGCATTAGCAAACACATTAACAACAAAGTCCAAAATGCATTACATATTTAACCAATTTCAAAAGTTGGCTACTTTTCTCAAGCTCCAATAGATCCTCCTTGTTAATAACCGGCTTCCCGGCAGCCGTTTTCCAATTATTTTTCTTCCAATTCTTTATCCATTTGGTCATGCAATTGATAACGAATTGCGAATCCGTCTTAATAACAAGCTTATCAATCCCATTCTGTGCGGCCACATTGCACGCCTCGGTGCAAGCCTGAATTTCAGCAGAGTTATTGGTGTTCCTTCTCGCGGTGCTTTTCGAAACATTCCTGAAAACGAAATTTATCGAATATTTGTCTTAAAATATGACATATTGAATATTTACAAAGGATGATTTTCACTCCACCACACGCCAATCCCAGCTTTAGCTCCAGCAAAACCATTTTTAGAGCAAGCCCCATCTGTGTAAACAACCACGCAATCATTCTCTTTGCAAAACTCTCCTTTCACCCTCTTCAAGTCAAAATCAATGTCCGGGATATCATCCAATGGTCGTTTGTTGCCTGTGGAATATGAACGGCTTGGTCTGCAATTAAATTGAATCAGATGAATGGAATAAATTATGAATATTTTGCACATACACATTTATTTTGTTTAGTTCCTTTTTAATAAGATGCACCTCCTTTTGGAGCATATTGATGGTCTTCTCTGCATCCTCCAGCCGAATCATCAATGCACTCACTGTTTTATCACTAAAATATATAATAATTTATGGATTGATTTACAATTATCAATTGATAGATACGATCATGCTTTACCTCATTGTGAAATAGTTGTTGTAATGTGTTATTGCGCCTTTTGCAGTCAAATTGAGATGGATTAATCTGGTAGCTAAATTCTTCAATACTGGAATCATGTATATAACCTAAAAAAAACAAATTTATTGAAGCAGTCTATTAAATAACACATTATCTATACGAGACGATATTTGGAATCATACCTAGCTTTTAATTTGTTTCATAAATAAAATATCAATAATAAAACTATTTAATATATTCGCAGAATTTGAATATTGTGTTATGACATACACATATCTTGTCTTGACAAATTGTTACTTTCCTTATTTTTTCATTATTTCATTGATGTCTAGAGTTTTTTCAATATTTAATTACTTTATATTTTTTAACATATTATAAGCTAATGCACTCGAATGTATAGATGAGTATGAAACTCATTCAACTATAGAAGGTAAAAGTTTTATACCTGCAATCATTCATATACGTGCAATGAGGGCACAATAGAGAGAAATAGTTTGGGGGTAGCAAAATCATGTGCGCAAGATTGATAATATTCATGGTAGTTTGGAATTACCGCAATTATTTGAATTTTTATGAATTTAGTCCTAAATGTAGGCAACCCATATAGCAGTTTTAGCTTCAAATTTGAAATTTCATTGATTTCTGAACAACTATATTAAACAGTAAATCCCAAGGAATATACGTAATATCAATTTATAATTTAAGTTTTTGAAGGTTTTGTCTACAAGTATGAGATTCATACAAAAAAAAGTACTTAGATGTGATGAATGAATCTAGTAATGATTACAACTAACAATATTTTGAATTCAATTATGAAATATTACATAAAGTATTTAAAAGTTATTTAAGCATTCAAAAATAATGAATTTTGTGCATTTTTTGTAGTTATTTACAGTAGCGGTATTTCAATTTTCATTTAGTTACTATTGGAAAATGCGTTCTTTCAGTGGTGTTGCAACAAGTGAATAAGTCCGTATTGGAGCAAATTGAAGAATTAATAATAATTTGTAAATGTACTATCATTCCTCGCTTTTAGATAAGTAATTCAGTTTCGTAAAAACAAAATAGTTTAGTTAGTTATATGCAGAGGGCTTAACATTTTGAGGACTTCTCTACACGCTTAAGTCACATAATATTTTGGCGCCGTTTTCCTTGACCTTCTTATCTCATTTTCATCCATTTTTTAGAATTTCTGTTTCCGTTGGTGCGTGGTTAGAAATAGTTTCGATTCATAATAGTTTTATTTATTTTTTATTATTAAGCTAAACTAGTATTTGTGATGTCCAATTCGAAAAAACACTTCATCATTAAAAGAGGTAAGTATATATAAAGAAAAACACTTAATTATTTTTTTTATTAACCATGTATACATAAATTTAGATGGACACCAACAAGAAGTTTCTTTGCATAAAATTAAGTCCAGACTGGTGAAGCTGTGCTATGGATTAAATACAGAATTTGTTGATCCTCTGACAATTACACAGAATGTTGTTAAAGGCTTATATCCTGGTGTGACAACAATTGAATTGGACAGACTTATTGCTGAGACTGCAGCATGGTTGTCACCCATACATCCAGATTATGGTATTTTGGCTGCTCGCATTGAAGTTTCCAATTTACATAAAGAAACAAAGAAACTATTTAGTGGTATGTAGAATTGTTGATGAACAATTGTTATGTGATAACTATTGTTTTTCATTTGCAGATGTCACAAGTGATTTGTTCCATGCTTCTGATTTAGAAACTGACAGTCCAACTCCATTAGTATCTAAACAACATTATGATATTGTTATGAAGAATGCAGACACTTTGAATTCTTGTATTGTGTATGATCGCGATTTCTCATACAATTACTTTGGTTTCAAGACTTTGGAGAAGTCTTATTTGTTGAAGATCAATAACAAGATTGTTGAGAGGCCTCAGCATATGTTGATGAGAGTGGCTGTAGGTATACATGGGGAGGACATCAAGTCTGCAATTGAGACATACCATTACATGTCTGAAAAGTACTTCACCCATGCTAGTCCAACGTTATTCTCCGCTGGCACTCCTAGACCACAGTTGAGCTCATGTTTTTTACTGATGATGCCAGAAGATTCACTTGATGGGATTTATAAATGCGTTTCAGATTGTGTGAAGATTACCAAGTCTGCTGGTGGTATTGGAATTAACATTCACAATATAAGAGCAGCGGGAACACTGATTAAGAGCAATGGGGGTAAATCGGATGGAATTGTGCCTATGTTGAAAGTGTTCAACCAAACAGCGAGGCACGTGAACCAAGGTGGTAGAAGACCTGGCTCCGTTGCGGTGTATTTGGAGCCTTGGCATGCTGACATTATGGAATTCGTGAATCTGAAAAGGAATACGGGAAATGAAGAGGAAAGAGCCAGGGATTTGTTTTATGCCTTGTGGATACCGGACTTGTTTATGAAACGCGTAGAGGCTGATAGTGTCTGGTCACTGATGTGCCCTCATAAGTGTCCTGGATTGTCGGACTGCTGGGGCGAAGAGTTCGAAAAGCTCTATGAAAAATACGAAGCCGAAGGAAAATATAACAAACAGATTCCGGCTAGAGAAGTTTGGCGCGCAATTGTTATCTCGCAAATTGAGGTTGGTGTTCCTTACATGATGTACAAGGATGCCTGCAACTCGAAGAGCAACCAACAGAATTTGGGGACAATCAAAAGCTCGAACCTGTGCACAGAAATAGTGGAATACACTGCGCCCGACGAAACTGCCGTCTGTAATTTAGCGTCAATTGCCGTTAACATGTTTGTAAAACCAGATAAATCATTCGATTTCATCAAACTGAAGGAACTCACCAAACTAGTTACTAGAAATCTGAACAAGATCATCGACATCAACTACTATCCTGTGCCTGAAGCTAGAAACTCAAATATGAGACATCGTCCAATTGGTATCGGTATACAGGGTTTGGCCGATGCTTTTATCTTGATGAGGATTCCGTTCGAAAGCGAAGAAGCACAAAAGTTAAATGTACAGATATTCGAGACTCTTTACTATGGAGCTTTAGAAACGAGCTGTGAAATCGCTGAAAGAGATGGACCGTATTCAACTTATAAAGGATCTCCGGCCAGCAAGGGAATTCTCCAATACGATATGTGGAATGTAACACCAACAGACCTATGGGATTGGGCCGCCTTAAAGGAAAAAATCGCCAAGCACGGAATCAGGAATTCTCTCCTTCTTGCACCTATGCCAACAGCTAGCACTGCCCAAATTTTAGGAAACAACGAGTCCTTCGAACCGTACACAAGTAACATTTATACTCGTAGAGTGCAAGCCGGAGAATTTCCAGTTATCAATCATCATTTATTGAAGGATCTAGTTGAACTAGGCCTGTGGGACGCGGTGATGAAGAACCAACTTATCGCCAACTATGGTTCCATCCAAAACATCCCTACAATTCCAGATAATATCAAGAGTTTGTATAAAACTGTGTGGGAGATCTCGCAGAGGACTTTGATCAACATGGCTGCAGATTGTGGCGCCTTTATAGATCAGAGCCAGAGCCTTAACATACACATCGCTAAACCCACGTATACTGCGATGACCTCGGTGCATTTCCATGGATGGAGGAAAGGATTGAAGACGGGTCTCTACTACTTACGCACGAAACCTGCCGCCATGCCCAACCAAATTACGGTTGATAAGAGAAAATTAATTAAAGTTGATGGCAACAACGAAGCAGCTTTACTTTGTTCACTGCAAAATCCGGGCGCATGTGATATGTGCAGTTCCTGAAGAATAGACTGAAATATTTAAATTAATTATAATTGAATTTCAATTGTTCATAAGTCCAATTGTTCATAAGTCAATAATATTTTACAATAATAGTTTTATTTGTAACGTGAAATTAATAACTAGACTAATAAATATATATATATTTTATTTTAATTTAGAAAATAAATAATCAAGAAAGGAAATTATGAAAACAAATTAAATCTTTCACTCTTCAATTTTGGTGTATTTCCTCATATAAAAATAAAAATTGCAAATGTATTCTAATTACTGTGCGAACCACCGTTTGGCGACCGCTGGTTCAAACGAATGAGATTAAATTTAAAGAAAAGAAACTATTTGCGAATCGTTGAAACATTCTGTAGTTATCTGGTAATTTTCCCCCGTCTCGCAAAACACTTTGTCACCGCAAAAGTGTCCTTCTTAAGTTGCAGAACGCGTCTTGCGGAGCAGCGATGACTCAGATGCAGATGTCGAGGGAACGAAATGCTCGTTTAATGGCTTTTCGGCCGGGACCATTGTTTCGCTAGCCTTCGGATTGTTTGAAACTGTGACAGTTGCCAACAATGCGCGTTTCTTAAGACAATATTCTCACATTATTGACCATGTTTCAGCTTAAGAAAAAAAGAGAAGAAATAATGCAATCGACGAACATTTATCATTAGAGGTGTCCGGGGGAATGTCTGTAATGGATGTGCATCGAAGGACACTTCGGCCTTCGTTCAGTTTATTCTATATATTTAAAGGACTTTTAATATATGTATATAATTAAACGTTATTATTCGAGCTATTAATGTAAAATTTGCATTTAAATTATTGGTGGAAACAAGGTAAAGCAATGATGAATGCATAATTGCAAAAGTTTTGTTTCTATCGAAATAAGATTCGGAACGTTTAATGAGATGTCCTCACTACACTACTCCCACGTCCAAAAAAAAACCCACAGGCGATGACGCAAATATACCGCTATTCGCGACATACCTGAAAAGGTAACTCTAAAGTAAAGTACAGTGGAACCTCGCTTAACGAGTTTAATCCGTTCCAAAATTTCCGGTTTTTTACTCGCATAGTGAAATGTTCGTATAGTGAAACACGTTTTCCCATATAAACTAATGTAAATTACGTTAATGTGTTCCTTTCCGAAGAAAAATAAGTATAACTTGGTCTCGATTTTTCATGATTTTGCTTTTCATATGTATGGTTATTTTTATTCTTTAGCTTTTTATTCGGAGACATGCAAGTGTTATTAAATTTTGCACAAAAAAAAAATCACAAATAACATGTCGGAACACAAGTTTGGAAATTTTGTGATTACATACAACATTAAGTTGCAACTAGAATGACCACTTAGACTAAGTACTGTTTTCCAATTCACACACGGTTAAGATTGCAAAGAACATCGAAGATGGTTAATATATTCAAAAATGCACATAATATGTATACATAAGTTTTAAAAATGATATAGTAGGCGCACAACTTCTCTTCTCATCGTCACTCGTT